TAATATTATTTGTACCAATTACTCTAATTCACTCAATCGTCTCCATAATTCTCATAATAAAAATTCCATAGCTTTTCCAACTGTTAGTTTTTCACTGATTATTTCACGTTAAAACTTATTAGTTTTTTCATTATGATATGTATTAAAATGAACCCGATGAGAATTAAAGCAAAATTTGGAAAATTAAAACCTACTTGTACATTATATATAATACAAAATCTGTAATAAAGTCAGAATGTTCCACTATATATTGCCTATAAACATAAAAAATATTTTCATTTTATATCTGCAAAGGGATGTCTAACTGTTTCACATTTAATATCGAGCTAGAGTACCGGAGGTCGTAAAATCTTGGAATCTATTTAATGTCCCTAAGCGTCAGCACGATCGGTCCTATTGATTGAAATCCGGTGCTGTTTAAAGCAAAAATAGTCTCAGTCATCTCGATTCGAGAGCTCGTCTTTGGCTCCATTAGAAAGATGAGAGCGATTGTTACTCGCTGACTTTAAAGCATCTCAACCACTCCGATACTTAACTCGTCTTAACCTTGTTATATACATAAAATTAATCATATATATGACCTAGATTTTTTGGTGTTCATAATAAATTTATCATCTTATAAATATTTAAACAGTGTCAGGTACAAATATTTCTAGACGCTCTATATTGAGACGTGTGAAAGTTAAGCCTTATAATCAAAATTTCTCTAGAGGTTATAGTCTTACTTACACCTTAACCATACGCACATAACACACACACACACACACGAATGTAACACATTAGGTACAATGACGCTTTTAAGCCTACAAAGGGTGAATGGAGCCTTAAATCGTGCCCTATATACATATATTATGTGTGGGAGAGGACTTATGCGACTTTCGGTACATACATGTACAATTATTCGGATAACTGGAGACGGATAAATTGAAAACTATATTCCTTTTTGAAAGCCATTCAAAAAATTTCAACAAGCATTTGTTTTATGTGACCCTTTTTGTAGTTATTTCTCTCATAGTAATTTGTTCTCTACTCGACCTTTGTAAATTAAAGATCCTAAGAAAGGTCTGATCTAAGAAATTCTTTTCATCAAATATAAAATACATTTAATGATACTGAACCAATTCGGATGCTATTTTATAAAAGCGAATATATGTTTTTAAATAGTACATAATACATGTTATCTTTTGATGACAAAAGCCTTCCGTACCGCGAAATACGCTTCGCTAAGTAATTGATATTAATCATTATAATATCAGTTGATTGGAAAATTATCATTTTCGATGTTCGATCGTCCGATTCCGTACTACCGGTTCTGTACATGCATATGCGGCTGGTTTCAAACCGAGCCTTGCGAAAACGGAATCCGATGTTGTATAAATATTTGGCAAGGAAGTACGTTATCAACCGGGTAGGTACCGCAGTGCAGCGGTGTATTTGGGTCGCGGTGTCGCTGGCAATCGTGGACCTGAAAATTGTGATGGAAAACCATTGTAAGGCGTCACGTGAATAAAACGGAAATTACACGCGAACGAGTAAAAAAACCAACATGATGGTTACTATGCAATAGGTTAAACGATTTTTCGATATTTATGGCGACTTTCAAATTCAAATTGGACAGTATTGTTCGAACATATCTATTAAAGATACTTCCATATAACGTCATATAATGAAGTTATAAATACTTGTCGCCCGCTAACTGTATTTTCGACTAAAATCGATGAATCTCCATTCTCCAGTAACGTGTCGAGATAATGCTCGAACAGCTTGATTGGATGACCGTACAACGTATCGTTGACCGTAAGGCTTACTTTATAATGCTGGCAGACGTATAAACTGTAGGTTTTATGGTTGTCAATGTTTTTACTCCCTTCGGAATTATTAATTGTTTATTCTCATTAAGTTGAGTAATAAAAAATATTTTTTGTTCACTTTCGCGTCTTTAAGCCTTTGTGATAACAATATAGCAATAACTTCTTAAAATTTTATTGAATAGGAACTTGTAATAAACTGGAGTTTATTTATTTTATTAGGGCTAATCTTTAGCAGTAATTGATATAAAAGATTATATCATATGTATGAATTAATAGCGCGTGTGGACAAAGTCTTATATCTGCAAGCTGGCGACGAGCCAGCACTTATCAGGGAGAGGCTTAGCCGGCAGTCTTGATTGCCCCAACGGTTCCATTGTGTACCCCTCCAACATTATTTGGCCAACTCTTACATTCTCAGCCTGACATATTTTTAGAAACGCTATATTGTATTTAACGCTGTGTCATACCATTAGATAAAGGCGAGTTCACATAGATTCAATGTAACCAAAAAAACTAAACATTTTGATATTACGCAAATATTATTGTTTTAATCCGTACTAGTTTTTGCCCGCGACTTCGTCCGCGTTAGTTTGATCAAGAGTAATATATGTAGGTAGGTATAGCTGACCAGGCGAACTCTATTTCATCTTAGAGGCCATAAATAATCAGGTTTTTCCTGTTTCAATCAAACAAAATGATTGACATATTAGTTAGTTGTCAAATCTAATGTCAAAAAAAACGTTTGTATGGGAAATAGAAAAGGGCCGTTTTTAAGGTTTTCCCGGCAATTTTTCTAATTTTTCTCACCTTTTAAACCTTAGCTGAACTTCCAAGAGTATTTCAAGACTAAAATTAGCCAAATCGGTTCAGCCGTTCTCGAGTTTTAGCGAGACTAAGGAACAGCAATCCATTTTTATATATATAGAAGATAAGCGTTAACCTATAGTGAATATAATTGTTCGATGGACCATTTATAAAATATTATATATTAATATAGGTTATAAAGGACATGATGTCATTATTTTTTTTCACAGTAAAGGGTTGTGAGACGGAGATAAAATCTATTTAAGTGCTGCGAGCGCTTCTCACCTTTTTCGACGTCAAAGTGAAGCCTACTCCGTAAATAGCTCGGGGTTAAATAAAAACGGGTTGCCCTAATTGCTAAGTTTACTCAGTTATTTGAGCTTTGATAGCGACTAACCAACTAACTAACATCAAAAACTTTGTCAGTCTCTGTGACGTCATACAATTATAATTTAAGAAAGTTTTCAGGCGTTATGACAGTAATTCGTCTGTTTTATTCAAATGTATTAAGATAAGGTGTTATAATTTGATAAATTTATTCAGTAACGTTTTGTATGAAACATATTTAATGAAAAGAATGCTATTTACTCCATTTCTGTTGAAAGAATTTCTTACTTAAAATAAAATTTCGATACTTAAGGATACTCATATTTTATCAAATTAAGTCTTTTAGTAACAGTACTTGCAATATTATAATACAATTTTTAAAAGCAGATAACAAATCTTCGTTCCAAAGTTCCACTCATAAAAGCCGGGTTTTCCCGAGAGAAATTGTTAATAAAACAAATGTATGAAGAGTAATTTGACGTCGAAAACAAAATAAAATAGAGCACTCTAAAAAGATATGTATGTACGTGTAAATTTTGATCTCAGTTGGAATGTTCTGATGTAAAATATACGTTAGTCAAATACAATACATAGTTTAATTTAAACTGGATCCATCATTATCGTATTATATCGTCGTCCACGATCCGTTATCAGCGGATGCATATTAACGGTTCACCTTCAACCATTTTATTTATACCCGTCCCCCAGGCCCCAGGCTCTCATTGAACGCTCCGCCGGTTATTTGGTCGTCACATATATACGATTGTAGTCCACGTTTCTCGTTAGTTCGTCCGTGAACTATGTATATGCTTATTGCTTAAGACAAGTTTCAATTATCACACTAAATACGTACGTTATCCAGTTTTTCATTCAATAACCTGATTTATTATAAACATAAACTTGAATGTCAAACTGTTAACGTTTCGTATGTAGTATGACGTCAAAACTTGGAGTAAGCGTAATGTTCACATCGGATACTACGAGATTGGATTCCTGATTCGCACGCAGATACGATTTAACGTTCAAATTATTGTTTTCTTTATGACTTTTCAATTTAATTTGAGTTGTTATTAATTTTTAGGAACAACATATGATTAACAATAGAATTTAAAGCACACCTTGTTACCTTGTTTCTTTTAAATAAAATAATCTGGGAAAATGTTGTTGTCATTCATTCAAGAACCATAATATTAAAAGAAAATCATTAAATTAGCCGATTAATATATAACAGTAGTATATGTTTTGAATTCATTCCTCTTTTTTTGTTGATTAAAATATCCATCTTCATTATTTAATAGTGCCCATAAGTTTTTCTACCCATAAAAAAGTTTACTGTAGTCGGTGTACTCTTGTTTTAATCTACGTAAAAGAATCTTAAATTAATTTACTTCAATTTATATAATGACAACTTAACTTATTAAATTATATGTATACATATTTTCCTATATTTGTCTCAAAACAATTTTACTCATATATTGTACATGCCATTAATATTACTTGACTTCAGCTTTACAGTTTGATTTCGAGAGAATTTATGAATTGAACTCAGAAAAGTTTAATGTAAAATAAGATATTGTTATGAAGAAATTTAATTAAGTTGTACTCTCAGTATTATACTATGAAGCCACTTGACTTTATATACAATACGACGTATTGTAGCGTGGAAACAAAGCTCGAATACAGAATGGAATATAAAGAAAAAATGACGTTTATTTTTCTATCAACAAGTTTTGCATACACGAACCAAAAGTAGTTTTAAATTATTCATTCTCATACCTTCGTCGTTATCGTCATATGAGAACTGAAACTTGTCTACCTGAAATACATAAATAAATACATAAATTTTACAAAACGAGTAGCAATCAATAAGATATTAGAATTAAATTTTGGTGCTTTCGATAAAGGATGCAAAAATGTACGACAAACTACAAAAAGAAACTATTTTAGTCCATATTTTCAGCTATTAAACCCTTAAGTAATTACGCTTTAAATATCCTTAATCCGTTGTTTTGTTAGTAATAATCCCATTAGTCGTATGATAATAATTTCATGTTACAGTCAAAGGCACACGGTAAAGTTCTGTTCGATCAAGTCTGCAGGCAACTTCATTTGTTGGAGGCTGATTACTTCGGGCTTGAATATCAAGATGCTAACGGGATAAAGGTAATTGGATAATATGTAGCAGTTGTATGAGAACTGTAGTCTGTATGACGTTCGACTTGTAAACTAATAATATCGGTATATTAGAAAACGCTGGGAGTAAAATATCGATTGGTTGGTGACTCTCAGCGAATATGTGATATTATAATAGAAATATGCTTATACCGACTTCGATAAAGGCAGTATCTTTGTTAGTAAATGCATTTCTTAACTAAAACCAGTCATTTATTCTCGGAGTATCGTAGTTAAAATATAAGGAAGAATAATCCTTTATTTGGGTGCCTACGCTGTATCTATTGGGGGCCCCTAATATGATACTAATATACAGGGTGACTGGTGAATTACTATCAATATTTCAGGAGAATACTCGGTACATGATTCTCATTCGAATTATGTAAAAAAAATAGGTACTTAATTTTTGACCAAATTTCCGTATAAATAAATAAAGCGTGGGAACGTTCCAAGTGTTCCAAGTGTGGACGCGTGCGACGGCGTGCTGATACAACACTACGCCGCCACACGCGTATGTGTGTGTGTGTGTGTATACCTAATCTGTAGGGTGTTCACACGATGCGTAATTAATTACATAACTTTTGGTTAACTTTACTTAGAAGTTTATTAATATTTATGTTATATTAATTTTTATTTTGTCAAATATGATCGTCAAATATCACGTCCTAAAGTATTGATAGTAATTCACCAGTCACCCTGTATAATTAATATTTCTAAATTTAGCCAACATAGAAATAACATAAAAAGTATATATTATTTCAAAGCATAGAAAATTGAACGGCCGGCAAAAAAATCTTGGGATTAAGTATTGAAATCTAATAGGTACAAAGAATATTATAAATGAAATATTAAGTGATTATCAGCCAATCCTTTCCCGAGTACAAACATTTCTACATAAAGTTCAAATACATAAGTATTGAAGTCTATCAACATAGAAAGGCGGTTGATCTTGTTTAACAATTGTCATAATATTCCAAGTACTGGCTGGACGTGGAGAAGCCGATGTGCCGTCAGGTCGGTCTATCAATGCTGGAGCCGACCCTCCGCTTCTGCGTGAAGTTCTACACCCCGGACCCGGCGCGGCTCGAGGAGGAGTTCACCAGATATTTGTTCTGTCTCCAAGTGAAACGAGACCTGATGCTTGGGTGCATACAGTGTAATGAGAACACAGCAGCGCTCATGGCCAGCTACATAGTACAAGGTTGGTTTAAGAACATTATTTAAAAGAATTTACATTCACTTAAAACAATAATACAATTATAGAAATTTTGGTTGGGTAGTTCGACAATTCGTCGACACTCGATGCATAGAAACAAAGAACTGTTGCAACTTTTGAACTTTTTTTTTGCTTCTTTCTTAAATTCTATTACTTCTGCGCAGTTTTCTTAAAATTTTCTTTCATAATCTTCTCCTTACTTATTTGATTTGATTATCAAATTATCAAAAAGTTTAATATTTGTAAGATTTGTGATCACTTTAAGTTATTAAAAATGTAATCAAAGCGTCTGTACTCTTACCAAGAACAGACTAAGAATACCCAGATATAAGTTTGTATTTCATACACTTATATGTATTTAATATGTATGAAATACTGGAAACTATCTGTTTTTTAGTTTGACAATGTCAACTAGTGGTAGGTTTACTGAATTATATTCTCTTTAAATTTTGTCTCGATGAGTAAAGTTAAATACACATATTCAAAAACAAGATAGATACAATAATAATAAAAATAATAATGTACATCATTATACAACTACCTCTAATGTGTATTGCCCTAAAATGGCCATTAATTCCGATACCTTAACTAACGTTTCGGTTCAAGAGTTTGACGTTATGGTTATAACTAAACGACCGTTGATTGTTGCTTTTGAATTAATATTAGTAATTATTCGTAATTATCTGATTAAATTTAAACAGTCAATTTGTTGTTGAGATTGGGAAAGCTGTTTTCGATCTTCGAAGTCCCCATTGTAGGGACTATACGACGAGATTGAAAGTGTTTGGCAAAGTCTGTGAAATAGTTTTGATTTCTATAAAATATAAAATATTCCATCACAATGACTATACAATAATTATAGAGAGGTGTACAAAATTATCAACAGGTTACCTAAAATATTATCGTGAATCTAGCCGCATTCAACATTTTATTTAAATTTCAATTCCGTTTGAGATATTTTTAAGTATTTGAATAGTATTGAATCGGATGTTCCTAATGAGAACTCGTAAACAAGCTAAAAAAACATGAGCCAAAAAAAAGAGTGTAAACAGGTTTTAATATAATAAAAAGTGCCGTCGAATGAGTCATTCTTATCAGTGTCAGGATGTTGTCAGTCAGTTAGATTAGGTTTTGCTTATACACTGATAAAAAACATGAGGCATAAAAGAAAATCAACATTTTAAGCAAATTTTGAAAATATGTCGTGTATGGAAAAAAGAAATTGTTGGTACGAATTGTAGCTTGGACTCTCAAAAAAATCTTAATGAATATCATTAGAGATTTTTTTTCGAAATTTTCTCCCATATTTTTTTGGATTACAAACTTCCACTTAAACCAAAATAATATTTCTTATAATTGAATTATGTCATGGCTTGAGTTAGTTGTATGTTTACTCAAATATAGGTTTTAGGTCTCCAAATGACCATGTCCAACTGAGCTATAAGAATTTCATTGAAATTAGTTGATTTGCCTTCTGAAAAATCTCTTAAAATATAGATTTTTTTATTCTGTTAATATTTTCATGACTGTATAAAACATTTTAAATAAGTAACTAAAACATTTGCATAAAAACAAATATTCTAAGAGGCTCATGGGTCTTAAATATTCGCACGCCTGTTACAGAAGCTTTGATATGAATAGCTTCTGTATTATTCAGGAATGACGAGCCCACACACAATGAATGGATCAAGTTACGTACAAAATACATTTAGGTTAACATATAATACATATGGTAATTTAAAAGTGTGGTACATTTTTTATATAGAGAAATTTATATGAAGAAAAATTATAGTTTACTTTATATAGAGAACAAGGACATAGAGAAAAAATATTTATATTATATAAAAATATTAGAAATACATTGAATTATTTAACACTTCTTTAACATTGAGACACAAGTACGAGTATACGTCGATCCGTGAAGATTCTTGTTAAGAAAATAAGTTAAAAAAAATCCACATCGGTGTGTACTGTGTATGGTCACTGAATATGAAACAATGATATTTCTATTCTACTATTGAACTTGAAATAATTAATTAAGGTCGAACATTTCACGTTCGGCGATGTATAGAATGCGATGAGAGTTGCGTTGTTAAAAAGTGATAACAGTTTTTATTTTTTGATATTCAATTGAAGTCGAGCTGATAGAAAGCCTATAATTAAAAATTCCTTGACTTGTGAAGAGTTTGAATTTGCAACTTAAAATTGCATTTCAGATCATTGCAGTGTCACGGTAGTTTCATACAAAAGACAAGTAAAAAGACTGTGCTACTAAATATTGCGACTTATTATAACTTTGGTTAATGAAAAATGACGTCTAAGAAAAAATGACATCAAATGTAATAATATACCTACATCTAGTTTGATTTTGTACAATTGAATTTGTATTCTAAGGCATACATTTTTTAATGTTTTTTGATTGTTCCGTCTTATGACAGCGGAGTGCGGAGATTTTGTCCCCGAGGACTATCCTGACCACACGTACCTCAGCGGGTACAAGTTCTTCCCCGGACAGGACGCAGACTCGGAGAGAAGAATCATGGAGAATCATAAGAAACATATGTAAGGATTCTTGGATATACATATTAATATAAAATTAGTGATATTTTAACGAATGCAAAAAGTAACTATATACACATGTTTCATACATGTATGTACATGTTGAGAGTAAGCAGTCCATAAGAAAGAAGAAGACACAAACTAAATTTAGAATTAGTGTCACATATTTCGGAGTTAAATTAACTTCAATATCAGACTTGCTACGTTACAGACGGATGCCTTCAGTAATTTCTTTCACAACTATGCGAATGCTGTTCTTATGAAAAGGAAAGACGTAGTTTTAATGTAGCAAATTTATATTTAAAATGTATCTTAAACGAGAAAGGATCTTATATTAGAAATGTCCTCAGAAAGTTATACTATTCTTGAAATATATTAATGGTTGTGGTTGTTGTTACAGCGGTCAAAGTCCTGCGGAGGCTGATTTAAATCTGTTAGAGACAGCGCGGAGGTGCGAATTGTACGGTCAGTATATACAGAAGATATAACACTGTTTTATCACGCCTTAATGACAGATATAGGTACTGAAAAACAGAAAGTTCATAGCCAAAGTAGGCAAAATGTTAATAATAATAATAATCATTTATATAAGGAGAACATAGAAATAAAATCAATGAAGGCAACAGAATATTTGTTGTGGAAGATCGTTCTATAGAATAATCAATATTAAAACGTCCTACGGAACCGATAATAAATTTGCATTGAACTGGTCTAAAAACTTTGTCAGGTATAAAGATGCACTCAGCCAAGGACCACGAGGGCGTGCCGTTGAACCTGGCGGTGGCTCACATGGGCATCGCCGTGTTTCAGCACTGTACGCGCATCAACACCTTCAGTTGGGCCAAGATACGGAAGATATCCTTCAAGAGGAAGAGGTTCCTTATCAAGCTGCATCCTGAGGGATATGTGAGTGTACAGTCTCTTCTTTATTATAATTTCCCAGCTATAGCCAGGGTCTGCCTAGTGTACAGTCTATTACTCGCTATTACTTGAGTTCTATATAAACAAAAAAGCAATCACCCAACTGGAAATGTCTGATATTTCTTTACTATATCATAAATATTTTTTTATATTTTTTGTCAGGGCTACTTCCGAGACGTGGTGGAATTTTTCTTCGAGAGTAGAAACGAGTGTAAGAATTTTTGGAAGAAATGCGTTGAGAACCACGGCTTCTTCAGATGTACTAGCGTGCCGCGGCTGCCGCGACACAAGACACGCGTCATGTCAAGAGGATCGTCCTTTAGGTAATGAGTCACGCCTTTAATTGTCAATATCACTAGGAAAATAAAATGGAGACTTTGTTTGGGGGGGGGGGGGGGGGTATAGATTTGTAATTTCATTAAGCTTTGAAAATAATTTATTCTCAATGTGGGCCGTAGACGAAATTATTCTGGGAACCCCTTTTCTGGATAGATAAATATAATGTTGGACATTATGACAAACATTATATCATTTGCTATGTAGTTAACTTATTTGTATAAACAACTTGCATATCATCTGTATGACCTTCAGACATTTGTTTAAATCTCTAAAACTAAACTAAATCGTATTTAATTTCCTACTTGTACATTCCAGGTACAGCGGTAAAACACAGAAGCAAATAGTGGAATTCGTAAGGGATAACTACGTGAAGCGGCAAACATTCCAAAGGTATTTAGATTCAGCCGGGTCTGGTATAGTGCATGCGATAATAAGCTTAATGTACCGTTGATAAAGACTGCTTCTGTACACAACTAGACGTAGTGAGGTAGATATTGGGGTTTAAGGAACATATATTTTGTCAAGTTATTCGATTAACACGACAGTGGCTTATAACATTTCTGATAATACAGCATTTATATAATGTATTTTTGATGATATAATTTTCTCATCTGCTGCTACTCTATCAAAAAATATATTGAGAATATGGTAAAGAATCAAAATTGAATTCGAATATTTAAATGAAACTTACATATGCATGTTTTTGTTGGGAACAATATGTTAGTAACAGCCCCTGTATAGGGTATCCGATGAGTAACTTTAGAAGGTAATTGCGCTTTAGGTGATTATATAAAATGTAATGTAAGGTCTACATAATAACGGTGAGTTGGCACTTGGCATGGGCTGGGGACGAGCCTGATCGTGGAGGGCAATGACCTCCCTAAGTTGACATATCCGGGATTGCATGACGAGTCCTCGGACATGTCCTAGTGCGGGTGTAGCGGGAGGCTTCCAACGGTTCTGTATCGTCGTTGGTGATTAGCATACTCGAGCATGCGCTGTATACGTTGAGACTTTCGCTTCTTCCAAAACTCGATAAATCGTAGTCGTACGACATTGTATCGGTCGGAGGATGGTACGTCCGTTCGATGTTATTCGGGCTGCTCTCTGTAAGCCGGTCTCCAGATACAGCGCCACGCTCGCGTAGGTCGGTCAGGGTCCCCCCCTCCCCTCCCGCTGTGACCATCCTCTGTCCGGGCAGGTCGGGGTCGTTCCGCGCGCGCTCGGCGGCCGGCTCGGGCTCGGGGCCGGCCACGCCCGCGCCGCTCGCCGCCGCGCTGTCCGCGCACCCGCTGCTGCCGCTGCCGCCCGGCTCGGACGGTACGTGCCCGCACACCACGGTGGACTGACCTCTATATTATATATCTACATACATATATCTATTGTCTTATCTTTAATATTTGCATCGAATTCTAATTATACGACTTGCTCGTTTTTGTGTTTCAACTGGGCCATTTCTGTGGGCCGAGAGAGAGAATCGTTGGTCATGTTTTACTTCCTTTATTTCGAGATCGATTTCGATGATGACTGATGTTCTAGCGATTTCCCTGGAGTGGGACAAACAACCTCACTACCTGGAGGCCTCTCTGATGATGAAGGGCTACTCGGCGGAGGAGGCTCGTGTGGCGGCGCGCCGCGCCAGCGTTCGCCCACACCCACCAGCTACCGCCTTCACCTCCACGAGGGACAAAGTACGTTATATACCATACTATATACCATTACATATATGCCTACATACACAAAAAACATTTGTGTTTGTGTACACCCCTGAATACATAAGCATACCTTCAAGCTTCCACATACTCAAATAGTTATTCAAATACTAAAAATATTTTCTCTTGTTATTCTTAAATAATTAGAAATAAAACAGTCAAACATGTAGCTCATTCTCCTCCGATGTTAAGATATAGTTTAGTATATTGTAATACAACATATAATATACAATCTAAATGCATGGTAGACATCATAATAAAGATCAGTTTAGTGAAACACGACTCCTAGCTCTAACGGCGGTACATCTGTATGAACATTAATACACCTTACAGTTAAAGCTTCCTATAGTCCGTAGTTAGTGAAGTATGTTAGTATATTAGAAAATATTTTTTGTTTCTTTTCAGCTAACAAAACTGTACTGCAATCAAATCGTAAGGGCTTTACTCACAATTTATTATGTGTTAAACTTTTAATATATACTAGTTCACTGCTAACATCTGTCTCGTTGTACCAGTACATTGTGTAGATGACATAGTATCATAATTTTTTAAACTAAAATTATTTTCATCTTTACTAAAACTTTGTCTTTTTTCCTAAATTTTTTAATTAAGAATAATTCATTTTTGGATTGACTTTTCTTGCTTTCTAAATAATATAGAAAGAAAAGTCGACCCAGAAAAATTTATAGGGTAAAATAAAAAGTAAAATCATAAGGTCAGAATTTAATTTGTTTTCTATGTAAGTTTACATATATGTTAGCAAAAAATATTTGTTTTTGGCACCTTTTGTTCACTTCATACATCATAATTTTGCACTTTTTTATTAAAATACATGCGGTTATGAAGTTTCTTAATACGAATTTAATGTGATAGGCGGGTCCAGAAGTAGTGACCCATGCAGAGGTCAATCATCTTCCTATGGAGGATTCGCTTCCGCCTCATCAGACGACGACGCCGTTGGTAAGGGCACTAAGTTCACTACAGTTATTTATTTATATAAAGGAAGTTAATGTGGAATTGTGTTTATGTATAACATATCTGTTTTTCTGACCATCAGACATCCCCGGAGAGTACCTGGATGGCGGATGCGGAGGAAGGTGGTCGCGCGCGCGCACCCACTCCGCCGCCTCGTGGGCCGCGCCCCTCGCCAGGTCAGACGGACGCTGCGCGCACGCACACACACACGCACACGCTCATTCACACCCACACCCACACACGCACTGCCACGCGCAGCGCCGCCGCCTCCCCGCCCCCTAGCGTCTACCACACCTTCGAGTCGACCGAGCGGCTCGAGTTCGAGCTCTCGCAAACGAACATATACTCGGCATGTCCGTCGACGCGCTCGTCGCGCTCCGCCGCCTCCTTGGTGCTGGAGGCGGACGAGCCTCCTCCGCCGCGGCGCCCGCTGTGGGGCCGCAGCGCTTCGTGCCGCAACCTCCGCGACTACAGCTTCGACGACGCGGGCCGCTGCAAGCGCCGCGCCCCCGACACCCGCAGTATGCTGGCCGACCTCGACTCGTACTGTCCTGTGGGGCGGCGAGTCGACTCACCCGTCACTCGCTACGACGATGCGCGCACGCTCGCCTTTGTTCTGGGCGTATCCGGGTCGGCGGACGCTCGCCGGGACACACTCGGGCGCGCCTACTCGTCCAGCTTCCCGGGCGCCGCGGGCGAGCAGCGTCTCGACGGGCCGCCCTTTGCTCGCGGCCAGTCACAGGACGACTTGTCTCACGACAGCTACGAGCTGGTGGAGCGCTCGGACGACGAGTCCGAGAGGCGTCGTTACGTGCGCGTGCGCTCATGTTCACAGTCGGCGGTGCGCACGCGCTCATGCTCGTTGGACTCGGGCAACGATCTGCCCTCCGACGATGACCGTTCGCTGTCGCACCTCTCGGAGCCAGACGATGCCGATGCGGATCTTAACATTTCCGATCTTAAATATAAGAGCGACAATGATCTGCCTTTAGATCCGTTTCTTATTGACGACCCGCGAATTCTTCCGCGTGAAAAATTATCGGTTCGTTCGGATGGTAATTTTTACAAAGAGATTAAACGTGCCCTGGGCTCGCGGACGTCGAGCCAGGAGTCTAAAAGTGATATTTACGACTCGAAACATTCAAAAAGTAGCGCTGAGTCTAGTAAAAAATCTCGTGATAGCGTTTATCACACAGATAGCAAAAAATCTCGTGAAACTCTTAAGAGTAAAAGTTCTGATAGGTCCGGTTCGCGAACCTCGAGTCAAGACTCTAAGTCCGATTATTACGATTGTAAAAAGAATCTATATGAACCCGATGACATTAATTTACGACGGCGTAGCGTTACAAGTATTCAAAATGCTTATATTGATCCGTTTGAACCGATATCTCCATCATCCAGTCCTGATTCTGATAAAGATGATTATTATGACACACAACCAACATTTATCGGAATGGAAAAACCTGAGTACAGAGAAAAAACATTGTTTGACAAATCCCATGAGGATTTAATTGCTAATTTAATTACTGCCCCTAATTATTATCACATTCCGACCCCGTACTCAACATTTCCCAGCAATAATAAACATAAAGACTCTATACCTATTCACTCGGCCAGTTTGCAAAATGTTGAACTTGAACAATACGGGCAGTATTCGGATTCTAGTCCAATAAAAAAATCAGAAGAACTATCGACGGAGGAAGAAGATATGCATACACGTACTACACACATATGGCCAGAAAAAATTGCTGGTCTAGAAACAGAAATTGATAATAACAGAACGACTAAAGTTCTCAACTATCAAAGGCGTCGTTCTTCAGATACAATTTTCAGTTTCGATAAAGACAAAATTGAATCATTGACTAGATCGACAAGTAAAGAAAATCCACCTTCCCATCTTATTAAGGAATCATCGAATGAATCCGATGTTAATGTTCGAGTTCTACCGGCAATGGACAGCATCGAGTATGCTAAAAATAGAGCTAAGGTTGCTGCAATGCAATCTGGGACATCATCAATACTACAGTCTGATTTTGACAAATCAATGCGTGGAAAAGTCCACACGCATATCGTGCGCAAAGAAAATTTGAAAGAAGAATTAATGGCGAAAACACACTTTGATGAATACAATCCAAAACTTATTTTGGATACCAGCTCTAGTAGCCGTCTCGCAGATACAGCGGTCCCATACATTCATCCTACCGTCGAACGAACCAAGAGTGACCCTAACAGTTTGGCTAATAGGCCACGATTTAGCAGCGTGAATTCGAGACGACATGTTCTTATGCATCAAAAATCTATTGACTTAACACCCGCTGAATCTAGCGATGAAGATTACATGTTCCGTCAAATTCCAAGCGCTCCTCCTATAGCTACAAAGCGCTCGCATTTTGAGCTCCCGGCACGACATTCTGAGGTAGTAAGGCCGTTATTCGATTTACCACAAAACTACTTTAAGGAGTTTGATGCAATGAAAGCAGGTTTTAATGACAATAAAACGGCTGTTGAAGATAGTTATGATATTCCTTACGTGTTACATAAGAGACATATTATGAATGGCACTGCTCCCTCTCCAATGGAGGATAAAAGAGCGCCCCCTGATATAATTACAATGCCACCTCAAAATGGTCGCCATCTTGTAAATGCCCACCCAAGATGTAAATATCATGATCATCCAAAATCACCAAGATCACCCAAGTCACCTAAGTCCCCCAAATCACCGAAGTCTCCAAAGTCACCAAAATCACCCAAGTCACCAAAATCTCCAAAATCACCCAAATCTCCTAAATCGCCCAGAAATAGCATTCAACCTGACCATGCTCCAAAATTCTTAGAGGTTGAAAACCGTGATTTCTTATTTACACAAAATATTGATTTGTCTAAAGTTGATCCAGTTACTTTGGAAATCGATAAAAGCGGAAAATTACAACACCTACCAAGTCCGAAAAGAGATATCTCTAAAACGTTAGATTCTGCGTTGCTTGAAACCTTGAACTCAAAATTGAGTCAGATTGAGAGCGACTCTGCTACTAGTTCAAAAACCGATAGTATGTTGCAGGAAAAACAGTATACATGTGGTCATGACATAAAGTTTGCCATTAATGGTCGTAATATACAACAAGCTCCCATTTGCAAAGATCCGAAACCGCTTACGGCTGCTGAGAAACTGCGTGCTGATATTAAGTCAAAGTCTGAAAAAATGCCTCCAAAACGTGGACCTAAGGGTCGAGGGACAGGAAAGAAATCCGTTAGTGGTAAAGTCAAAACTAAAAATAATAATAAAATTCGTATAACATCATTCTCATCGGACGATGAGAGTGTTGATTCAGACGACGTATTTGGCACTACAGAAGCTGCCCCTAAGTTAGAATTTTCTCCTCCGCAATCAAGAAAGGATTTAGAACCAATATTACAGCTTGAATACGATAAAATTACTTCAGGAGCTTGGCATCGCGGCCAAACTATGAGTTCCACTGAAATCGAAGGATCTCCGCCTCAGTGTCGGAAGTTAGCCGAATTGGAAGCAAAGTACAACCCTCAAATTTTAGACAACGTAACCGGAACTGCTACTGAACTAAGAAGAATATCTGAAAGATCGATATCCATACCTAGTTCAGAAGACGATATAATTCCAAAACCTCCTGAAATAAAACAGATAAGTAAAGAGAGTTCAACTTGGGAATATAATGAAAACATTCCTTCACCCATTCTAGAGAGCACCGAGTTTCTAAAATCTGACGATGAACTTCTGGTTGACATGGAAATACAAAAGGTTACTGGATTCCGAACCCAATCTGATGACAAAAGTGACCAATTTGAGAAAAAGGATCTTTCCAAACTAGAGGTTAAGAAGAGTTTACGCGATGAATTAATTTCCCCTATGCTGAGAAAAGCTGGAGGTACTCCTATTCTTTTTGCTCATGCTAGATTAAATCTTTCGGAAGGGTCAGTGTTTTCACTACAACGGCAAAAAGCTACTCAAGATTCGCCTACAGCTAGCCGCAGAGCTAAAAGTCTGGATACGCCTGTGATACAACTGCATAGACTACCACCGATGAATGCATTTTCATCGAAAGACGATACAGTGGAAGACATCAATGAAGAGGGTGACATTTTAGAAGAAAAACCACTGCTCGATGATAAAGTTTCTAAAAACGGTACTACTATCAAGGAAATAGAGAAAATCGAAGAAGTTGATGAGGAAAATGCTACTGAAACTGGTCCTTCAAAGAAAGCATTAATAGATAACGAAGAAATGAAACTTTTAGAAGACTTAGTAGCGCAGCGAAGACCTCGTTCTTTCAAACGCCAATATGACTTAACTAAAATATTATCGAAAGGTAAATCACCGTCTAGATCGCCCTTGAACAGATCGCCTATATCTCGTTCACCACTGTCTAAATCTCCCTCAAGATCGCCAACATCTTCACTAAACTCTCCACGAGGAAGTATACGGAAACTATCAGATTTGAGTGAAGACCAAATAGTTCCTGACATTGAACGAATAAAGAGAAAAGAAAAGAAGAAATTAACTTTGAAACCGAAACTAGAGGATAGACAAAGAGCTAGTAAGCTTAATAAAGGGGGATCTCTCGATACAAACGCTACTACAGTAAGATCATTGCAAACTCAAAAGTCTCTACCATCATCCCTTAAAGAGAGACCAGATTTCTTGACTGTACCACCGTTAGATATGGTTAGGGCCAAAAGTCAAGAATTAGATCAAACAATTAAAAAGGGGTCAAAAGAAAAATCGAAATCATTAGAGAAGATGGATGTAAGGCGTGGCAGCTCAAAAGAAAGAACTAAATCTCAAGAAGATAGTGATACTGAAATAGCTAAACGCAAGGAGAAACAGCAGATGCTTTTTGAAGCAGCATTAAAACAAACTAAATCTCTTGTTAGTCCTGTCAAGGACACATTGCCTCCTTTCCCAGCACCGGAGGATAAAATATTGGTTAAAACCGAAGGAGATAAAATTATTATAGAAACGAAGATTAACAGTAAGGTAGAAGACCATGTCTTTATTGCCAAATCTCCAAAGAAACTTGATAACAAGCTCGCGGGTAAAATCAGTAGAAGCTTTGAAGATCCTAAAATTACCAAAATTAATACTAAAATAACAAAAAGTATGGAAGATAAAACAAGTCAATCATTAGAAGATGATGACTTGGCGAGTTTGCAAAAATCTCCAAAAACTTTGTCAAAGAAACAAGAAATTAAACAACAAATAGAAGGTAAAGTTGTTTATCAGAAACCTTATCCAAGTGGTAAATCTAAAAGTCTCGATCGAAAAGTTGATCCCCACTTGGATGCTAAAATTAAATCAAAAAGCTTAGACAGGAACTATGTGACACCTGCTTCAACTGTTAAGGAGCCAACGTCGGATAAACATTTTAAACAAGAGGTTGTTACTGTAGACGTTCATCCTACTGTTAAAGAAGAAATTGAATCGGAAGTACAAGAATTAGAACCAAAAGATGTGTCTCCTACACATAGTTATAAAGAGAAAACCGAGGAAGACTCGTCTATTGAATGGATAACCAGTTCTCAAAATACTGTTATTGAAAATGATACTCAAACTATAATATTGGAAAGAAGGAAAATAGAAATATACAATAAACAAAAACAATCAGAACTTCATGAACTGAAAGGTAATCAGGATCTTAGAAGTATAGATGATACTAAAAAGCCAGAAGTAAAACGTCTCACGAGTGAAGAGGAGTCCTTAACGGAAGTTAGTGAGCTAAAAATGTCAGATGAAAGTAACATGTTAGGTCTATCTCTTCCATTTATAGATGCTGATAGTTCATCAGATCAAGATCAAACATCTAAAAGAGAAAAAATAATGAAGTTTAAAAGGGGAAAGAGTGATGATACAGCATCAGGTATGACGGTCGATTACGATGAATATACGATGGATACGGATTTACAACTTTCTGATACATACAAAAGCAAAAAGGGTCTCGAAGCGCAAAGTACATTTGAAGAGTCTTCGGCCAGTTTGGCTGAATTTTTGAAGAATGAGTCAATGTCTCAATTCGCTATGGATAACGAAACCGAAAATAATATGAAAATAAAGGAGTTCGCCAGATCCGTAGATCTTGGACTAAAGTTCAAAAATAAGAATAAAATAATAGTAACTCCGCCGCAAGAAAATAGTCCTACTATTGAAAATATACCATTTATTGATTCAAGCACTTCTAGATCTCTTCATAAGTCAGAATCGGGAGAACACACTGGTAGCTCTGGTAGTGCGAATGACATATCTCCTACAGATCAGAAAAATGAACACAAAACACTCTTGACCGCAAAGTCGCGCCGTGGAGAATTGTTAAAATTAAGTGCAGAGCGTTCTCGGAGTTCCGAATCTACATCATGGACCAGCATTGAGAAGGACGCAAGTCCATCAAGTACTAATATTAAAGGTAGTTCTATTGATGATGAGTCAAGTGTCAGTTGTTCAATTGCTAGACCCCTAGGTATTTCACAGGACATAGAAAAATTAAACAAAAAAGACCGAGAATGTCTCGAAGAACTAAAACAAGCTATGGAATATGGAGAAGAACATTTACTATCTCATCATACTTTGTCTAGCGAGCATTCAAAATCAAATTCTAAATCTCCTTCACCAGTAAATGAAATAGGTCGTATAGAAAGTCCACGCAGCCCGTCGAAATTTGGTACCAGAAAATCGCCCACACCCACTTTAGAAAAACAAGGGCCAGTAGACTCACAAAAGGCTCCTTCAGATTCAGATTCTAGCTCGGAAAGTATTGACAAGACAGTTGAGCAATTGTCAAAACCGAATTTAAGAAAGGTTGCTTTGGATAAAATAGGAAAGTGTGTTGTCGAGGAATCTGAATCTAGCCAATCAGCAGGTTCGAAGGCTTCTGAACTGAAAAATGATTTGCAAAAGACAGTTAAAAAGACTAAAATAGCCATTACAATATCACAGGAAGATCAAAATATGACTGTTGATTTTGATGATGACGGTAATGTTATTACTTCTTCATTTGAAAGGGAACTTAAACTTAAAAAGAGAGCATTGAAAGACGTTGATCAAAAAAGCTCTTCTAAATCGAGCATGGATACTACGACAACCACGACTCCATCAAAGGGATCCCTTAGTGTTGATGATTCGTCTTCCAGAAGGAAAGCACGGCTCGACGAACAGAAAAGCTCCTCAAAATCAAGTATGGATTCTAGGGGTTCATTAAGCGTAGAATCAAGGGGATCTTTTGAAACAACTGAATCGACATCAGGATCCCTTGGAGAAGCTTATAGGCGAGGCGAGGAGCTAAAACCGACATGGAGACCATTTTTTGGGGCTTCTGGTAGTGAAAATAGTACTAGTATAGAAGAAGCTTGGATTCCTCAAGATCATGAAGGCTACGAAAGCTTAACCGTCAATAAAGATGCTTTTGAGTATGGTAATCAAAGAATACTCGATGATTTCCAATCGTTTTCAAAAAATCCTCCTTTGTCTTCAAATACTTCCAAAGATTCTACGGAAGCTGATTTTACGGATGATCTTAACGATTTTCCTGTGAATTTTCTATATCCTGCAACATCATCAACTACCTCTGACGTTGTTATCGGTTATGGGCAAAACTTTGGCCGTACTCTATCTCGTATATCCGAGCGTAGTACTGCATCTGAAAAGACTAGTGCTGATGAAGACTCTACTAAAGCTTGTTCACGTTCGGAAAGTATAAACGAAGAGTCTTTAAATTCTAGTGATCATCAAGCAAGTCTTAGTTCCGATCCTCCGAGTAATGCGAATGTTGCCTATATATCTGACACAGATAGAAGAACATCGGCTGAAATGCCAGATATTCCAATAGATCAAACAAAAATAAAGGACATGTATTCAGAATCTCGGAAAGATACTGAGCGAAGTAGCAGTAAGAAAGTATGTGAAGTTGTAGATTCTAAAAAAACAGAAGTAGCTTTGAAATCAGATGATGGTAACTTTTTGGTCCCATTTAGACAGTCATCAGCTAGTGAAAGTCAGGATTCCGAAGATTGGCCATTACCTGAATTGCCGCCTCAAGGTAAACAGGTAACGCCAGAAGTTTTAAGACAACGATCTAGCGACATCGATGAAATTCATTCCTTGAATTCTGCGACATTGGACACACCAATAGTTGAAAAGGTTCATATTTATTACATGAGTAATGAACCAGAACAAGCGATGAAGGTCACGATTCAATCGGAAAGCTCTAAGGACCACCTTGGATCGGATGACGACAGTGACACTCTGAATAATGACGATGAGTTAGAAAAAGATATTCCAGAGTCAAAATCAGAAAAATCTTTAGAACAAAGCTTGGACCTTTCACAGAAAAGTTCTAAAGTTATTCCTTACGATGAATCAAGCTACATGGTCGAACCTTTGGATAACAATGATGAATTTACATGTCTAAATAAAGGTGTTGTACCTAATTATAATAAGTCTTGTCTTGGTGGGACAATTAGTAAAGCAACGTGTTTGATGGGCGATATCGGTACTTGTTGTTCTAGAACGGAAAATAAATCGTTCAGTGCAAAAAGCAATTTGGAAGAAAAAGTTATAATTAGCCAACCTCAAAAGTCTCCAACTAACCATAGTCCAATATATGATGATGATCATTTGTATGTAGACGATGTGTTTGGTGGAGACAGTAAGTCTCTTTCACCAGATTTCGACAAAGGTTTGTCTCAAATAGGAACCCAGAAGTTTTCTTTTGGTTCTAATAATTCGGATACGTCGATTGATGATATCTTGTCGCAAACCAATATTGAGGATACAGTCAAAGTTGTGACTAAACTTAGTGTTACAAGCTCTGCACCCTGCAAAAAATGCAGCCATAGCAGTCATTCCGAAGAAGAAACTAGTTCTTTTGGTACAGACTTAGATGGTACAGTAAAAATTGGTTTGCCTCAAAAAAAGTGCACTCATAGCTCACATTCAGAAGATACTTCTATTTGTTTAAGTATTTCCGAGTGGTCAACAGGTACAAATACTGTTCGGCAATATGGTAATCTCTCTGCCTCTGAAAGCATTTCAGCTGTCTCTATACCAAAAAGTGAAAAATCCGATAAAACATCTGCGAAAAAATATTCTGCATCACAATCGAGCAAAAAATCTGAACCAATATCAAAAATACATTCAAAAATTGAAGCTGGCTCAAAAAGTAGTAGCCTCGATAAAAGTTCTGAAAATATTAAGTATGATAAGCTTTGCAGTTCTGAAACTACGGTCTCAAGAAAAGGAATAGACAGTAGTTCTGGAACCAAGAGTGATAGCACACTTACACTTGCACAGTCCATATCTGATTGGTCTGCTAGTACAAGTCATACCCTTGTTGCTACTGCAAAAGAGGATCAATTAGAAGAAGATAACTCAAAATCAGATAAAACCGTAGTTAAAGAGCCATCGCTTACTGTAGAAAGTTGTGATTCTGATAAGACAAACCCAGCAACTTTTATACAATCTGATGAAAAGCCTGCTGATGATAAATCCACGGAACCCGTACTGAGGTTAACTGCTGCATATACAGCAAAGACAGAAAAATCCTCATCAATAAGTTATAGTGATAAATCAGATAAATCGAGTTCGAGTTCTTTGAGTAGTCTTCAAAAACATACTAATGGAGTTTTGAGATTTGATCAAAGACTTAAAAGTTTTCCTGCTTCTCACGACTTAACCCAAGAGCGATATTTAAAGGCTCCTCCAAAAAGTTATAGTTATGAAGAGGAATCTCATAAGTTCATAAGACCTGCCACAAGATGTCAAAGTGAAGATAGTGGCTATAACCAATACTTCTTTGGACCTCAGTCAGAAATAGATATTGATATACCATCTCAACTTTACAGTCAAGAAGAAAAACACAGTGAGCGTTATCAAAGTCAGGAATTTTCAAATATTTTGCGAGAAGAACCAAATAGCCAGTTTGTGCGATCAGAATACAAACCTCTAGCGAAACATGCCAGCTATGATGATAAAACTCTGTCTAAAAATCAAATAAAAGAATATAAGACATCGCAACAATATCGTAGTAAACCGAAAAGTTGGTCCTTCCATGAACATTATTTGTCTTCCTCAGATTTACCAGTTATCACTGTCCCAGAAATACCGTCTGTTCATAGAGAATTCCAAGAGAAGAGATCTGTGGAACGGTCCGGAAAAACGCCTTTGTCCAGATGTTCTCCATATTATTCCAGTAGTTTAAGTTCCGAATCACCTCCTATTCAACCTCATAAAGCACCAGTCAAAAAATCTCTTCTTGTAAGAAATATATCTTTAAAAAGTCCACCCAGTGGTAACGACACTGACAGTTCTCTAGATGTAATTAGAGATCCCCGTGAAAGAATGAGAACATTCAGACGTAAAAAACCTGTAACTAACGCGCGTAAAAAGCAGGATAAAATACAGGATGTACTAGAAGAGGATTCTACTAAGAGCCAGTGCTCTTCCGAAAGTGACAAATACAAAAATGCTAAATACCTAGCTGTTGACGATTCTCTGCGACGAATGGAGAGTTCAGAATGTTCTGACAGCTATGTTCCTGAAGTGGAATCTTGTTCATCGGAAATGTCAAAGGGCGATTCTAAAAATGACGACATACCAGAAACAGTGAGTTGCTCCGAGGACGATGAGCAAGCAGGTTATGCAAAATATAAGAGCGCTACTTATGAACCACAGAGTTTCCCTGTCAACATAAATCCTGTACAGTTCCAGGGTTTCGGATCTTCTGCTGATGAAGATGAAATGGGATTTCCCAGATTTGATAGACTTGGTCGGTTGCGACATCCCTATCTGGATTCCCAAGAGCCGCCGTTTGTCCCCGAAGGCAGTCCCCCTAGAACATCTTATTCCAATAAAAGTAGCAGACAATCGTCTCTCAAAAGGACTAAGTCGGGATACGATAAATCACTCGGAGACTCTTCCGGGCAACATCAACCGAGATCCGTCTACTACACTGAACCTAGTGACAAAGATGATTCAGATGACTATGCCTATCCGGTGGATACTATAAAAAGAGCTCCCAAAAAAGGAGGGACTTTCTTGTTCGAACGGGGAGAATCTGTCGCTTATTCCGATACAGATTTGCCCCAAGACAAAGACGAATACGAGGAATATAGAGGCAGTCCATATCCAGAACAGTACGAGGAGGACATGTTCCGGACTCAGGAATTTTACCCCCAGTACAATATTGAGCCGAGAGATGATAACGACGATCGTTTCTCTCGTAATCTCGATCAACGTTTCAGTTTGAACAACGTCGAACGTTTCTATTCGAGTCATTACGTGGACTCGCAGGCGTCTAGTGATAGTCCCGAACAGAAATTTGACGTATCCACACTTCCACCACCACTATGTTCCGATGATGACAATGATTAGGTCAACAATGAAACTTCTCAAAAACTTCTTATCGGATCTATCTGACCTTTACAATTTCTCTCTCTCGAATAATTATTGACACATCGGATTATACATTTTAATTAGCATTTCTAAATCTTAATTTTTACTCGTACTTAATTGTAATAATAGTATTGGGCGTTAATATTCCTATTAAATTAATATTTACATTTTCAATTTAATACTTAGGTAAAATATATAGTGCCAATCCCCTGATATCGTAACTACTCGATTATCGTGTAAGTTTAAAGCAAATTATACCTTGAACTAGCTTATTAAGGTTTAGACGTAGTTTATGTGTACTGATATATAACATAATAACACTGGAATCAATTTAACACTATTGTAATAGATCGGTGTCACTTGTGTTTTGATTTGAGGAAACTGAACGCCAAACCGTTTTCCGGTCGTTTTCCGCCTTATTCGGTAACGATTATGTTAAGTTTAATATTATTTTATTTACATTATGTATAAAGGCTGTGATTTATTTGTATGATGGGATCCGAGATCGTTTATTTCAATTATTATCGTTTGCTCAATTATTTGTCGGAAGTATCACATCAAACCATACACAATAAGACTTGCAATATGCGTTCGTGCCAAATCTGCTCAATTTTTTTCACTATTATAAATATCTTTTGGATGGCGGTGTTTCTGTATGACGTATGTTATTATAATAAATAGTTCATCGATGATGATGTTAAGAAATGATGAAATTGGTGATGAAATTGGTAGTCATGTATAGTGTTGAATTATAATTTATAGTTTATATATGAAAATTGTTTATTTATATTTCTGTATCGTACGAGACTGCACTAGTCGTCTAGGCGCTGGCTGTCAAAACTGCTTGTCTGCTAGATAGGTTAACGAATATATAAAGAAATAGATCCCAGCTACATATGTCCGTGTGAAGCGTCTGTGTAGAACGTAGGGAGGGTAGCTGTAGCAGTTTCAACCGGCGTTATGTATGTAGTCGTGTGTTGTATGGGAATTGTAGATATTGAAAAATATTATTGGGTGAGAAACGTTCTTAGAATCTCTCGCCTTAAAGCCAAACGACTGAGAGCGCAAATAACGATTCGTAATCTGTTATATTATTGTTATATTATCTTGTTATCATTATGATTATTTGTTCTTTATAAACACTATGGAGTGTGGTCGGACTGAGGTGTTATTCGTTTAGTTTATATTTACAACTTATATACTATTGAATTTGAACGTTATCTGTTATCATTATTTTATTATGAATTGTCTCCTTTTTAAAACAATAATCGTTTATGAATGTTCAATTATATATTAAATGTTTAAGCGCACGTGTAGTCTGTAAGGGGTCGATGACCGCAGTGCAATATAAACTGGCATTAACACTTAGATTAAGATTTGAGATTTTCGATTCGGATTGTACAATCAGATAGACTGTAATGTTACGATTTCATAATAACTAATATAATTTTATTGTTTTGAGACTATCGAATGTTACTTCATTTTTTGAATTTATATATATTAATTGTATGTGTACGGTGTCCCCGGCCCACGTACACCAGGCGACGCCCTCGCGCCGTGATGATTACAATAAATTGTATTAATTACATCGGTCTTTTTATTAGTTTTAATTTGAGTTTGACCCTTATAAGACAACGCTCTCAGGATTATATGTAAGTGTGTCATTATATAGGCATGAAGTTGTTACCTTTGTTTCATTTGATTGTCATTTTGTTTCGTAATTTTTTTATATTTAATGTTTTTTTTTTCAGCTTATAATTTGTTTTTTTTTATTAAGTCAATTTTATTAGAACATTATATATTGCATGACTTTTCATTTATTTTTTCAGGCAACATGTTTATATTTTTGTAATGTTATTCTTATCTGTTATTTCAGATTGTGATTTTCATAGAAAATTTTTATTTTTAAATACACAACCATGATTTTTAAATGTTCGATTTCGTTGATATTCTTTTTTTTATAATATAATTTTTCTTAGATTAAAAGTTATGTATATGAATGGAAAAAATAAGGTATAAAATGATATAATCAAATAATCGACAAAGCTTGAAAAAAAAGTCGCACCGAAGTAAAAAAATGGATGTTTATATCATACAATTTTGACATAAGCCCGAAATATATAAAGTAACAAAATTCGTGCGTTCTTAATGAATTTTCTCTGAATTATAGGACTATCAGTAAAAGTGAATCATACTCATTTTGTATAATTAAAAACTCTCAGAATATTTTTATGCCTTAGTTTTTCAATTCATGTATAACCGTCATGTTCAGTATGAACGTCATCTTATTGTTATGTATTCTGTACTAGATGCGACCAACGAGCACACGGTGTCGTCAGCGTCTCTGTGTATGTCCCCGGAGTCTGCGGGGCCCGTGCAGCCCAGTATGACCTCGGACCCCCCACAGACCCCGCTACCCTCGGCCCCACTACACGCGTCCACTCCACTGCACACCAACGGCTACAGGGACAATGAAGACGACAAAAGACACAGCGACACTGTTAATGGAAATATACACGGTGAGTATATTATAAAGAAGTTGTTTAATACTGAGGTTACAGATAAGATCTATGTATTAAAGTTCCCCGCACCCAGCGCGTCATTTAAATTTTATTTCACATTCAAAAAAGGTAACTATGGGACTAACTTTATGATATAATTTATATATTAAAACTTAGAATCCATCTTAGCCATCTTATTTCTATTGTGATAAAAGGAATCTTCTGGTTATCACGGCCAGGTGTTCATTGAAACTGAGATAATAGAGGTGATGTTTAACATTGACATTATCGACGATTTAGTTTAAATAATCTGGTTATGACCTGCTACGGCTCTGTTTATTTCATTGTTTAATGTGATCTTTCCAGTTAACGTGGTATCGGCTTCAACTAACAACATGGACGTCTTGAGCGGAGGAGAGAGTGACGCCGGGGACACGCTATCGAGAAGAAACAATAACAGGTATACCTTTATATATCAACTAATAACATATGCATATTCAATCATTTATAGCTTCGTTTCGTCCAATGAGTGAAAGAGTAGATTGCACTTTCTCTGTTCCAACGCTTTCCTGCTACTTCCTTATCCCCTCCCCTCCCATCTCTCAATAACCAAAGTTGGCAACGCATCTGTAACAGAGATGTTGCAAGATGTCTATTTCCAACGGCGACTACTGCCAGCCTAAAATAAATAAATATTAATAATAATAATGTATTTAAATGAACAGTATATCGTCTGGAGTTGTGACGTCAGCGGACACCTGCAAGAAGCACGGCGCGGACGTGACGTACTACGTGGCCAAGGAACTGCTGATGACGGAGAGGACTTACAAGAGGGACCTGGAGCTCGTCACTGTTGTATGTATACACTTTATATATGAAATGTTTATTGTTCTAGTGTATATGTGGAACATACTGTATGTGTACTGTCCAAGAATTGTGATCAGGTGCGCTCTTTATTGATGTTCATGTCAATTCGCCAGTGCATGTATCATGTACTGCTTACATTCACTATTACGTCGAATAATAGTTAAATTCTTTAAAAAATTGTCATGCTAAATAATTATCACACTGCCAACATTATACAGGGTGACTGGTGAATTACTATCAATATTTAAGGAGCATACTCGGTACATGATTCTCATTCGAATTATGTAAAAAAAATAGGTACTTAATTTTTGATCAAATTTCCGTATAAATAAATAAAGTGTGTACACGTTCCAAGTGTTCCAAGTGTGGACGCGTGCGGCGGCGTGCTGATACAACACCACGCCGCCGCCGCGTCTGTGTGAGTGTGTGTGTATACCTAATCTGTACGGTGTTCACACGATGCGTCATTAATTACATAACTTTTGGTTAACTTTACTTTGAAGTTTATTAATATTTATGTTATATTAATTTTTATTTTGTCATATATGATCGTCAAATATCACGTCCTCAAATATCGATAGTAATTCACCAGTCACCCTGTATAATGTGTGTATCGTGTTTCTAGACGTGGTCAAAGCGTGTGAGTTCTATGGGTCGTGTGGAGTCTTCAGGGTCGGAGGCGGCTGCTCTTGGCCGCGCGTGTCTCGCCCTGGAACCTCTAGCGCTGCCCGTGGGAGCCCTACTGGCTAAGCTGGACCGAGCGCTCGCACCCGAACATATACAAGGTGATCATCTAGAACACCCTCTACAATACAATATCTAGAATATCCTCTACAATACAAGCAAAGTGTAGAACACCATTATAATCCAAACAGGGTCTAAAACACCCTCTACAAGTAATATATCTGTTTCAGTATAGTTATGAGAAAAGTTTGAATATAGAAAGTAGAAGAGTTCCGTTCAAACAAACTATAACTAACAGTGATATTACAGAGGCGGATATGGAAGGCCTGCTGTCGTTACCGGCTGGGCCGTTATTAGAATATCTCGACAGAATATTATCTTCTATAGACTTACCGATATACAACGGTAACGCTTAGACTGAGTCTGAGAGTTTGATAAACAATACATGGAATAATAAACCTTGTACAGCTCGTAATACGCTAACAGCAACACCATCATATCAATCATATTTTATAAAACACCATCAAAATCGCTATAACCCATTGTGTGGTCGTATTTTTAAGCTTATTCTATCTTAGAATTAAACGATATTAGGCATCACTCAATTGCTAATGTTTAATATTTTTATGGATTTTTATATAATATTTATAATAACGTAAAATAATATTTCAGGTACCGAGGAACCGGAATACAAGGCGGTTGCTGAGTTGCTGCACGACTATCTGACGAATACATATGATGTGAGTGTTACATTCAATAATGGTTCTAATTAATATCATTAACTAATTAATGTATGTAAATTAACTTCATATCAAAGGAGATCATTCAGGCTTCATACATTTTTGGGCCTATTTTGAAAGTGCCGGCCAACAAAAAAAAATGGTACATATTTGTAGAACTAACCATTTGGAACAATAGTTTATATGGCGCAAAAGTTGTAGGATCCAAGATATAGAAGTTATACAAGTTTCAAGATTCATCATTTTGGTACTTTATTTTTTTCTGAAAGTGCCAAGAAACATAAAATAATGATTGATATTGCTAGAGTTAAGCTTCTCAAGCAAACCATTATAGCCATAATCTGTTAGAAACATGTCGTTTTTATGTAATACTAGCGAACCCGACAGACGTTGTTCCGCCAAGTATCTGAACGCATGCAACACATTTCTTGATGATTTTATTATTTGTCTAAACTAATATGTATATCGGGGTGCCATTTTTATATATTAAAAAAATGGGCCTAGAAGCACTTTTAACTGATTTTGTACCATTTCGGGTCGGATTTGATCATATGACGCGAGAGCAATGAAAATGTTACCCATATTGTTGATCTAGACCTCACACGTCGTTCACATTACATTGTAGATATAAATCTGTCAAATCAGCTCCTTTTTCTTCTAAAAACATGACCACCTCGATCCTCAGTTCAGTTCCAGTTCTCTCACGGGATACTACTTTCACCGAATTATCTCACTTTAATTAGTTAATGAAATAAACAATTAGTTTCTTAAATGAGTCTATTTTTTTTTTAAAACCGAATCCTGGAGGAGTTTGTTAAACCGTCATACTAATGTTTCCAGGCGTACAAGTCGTACATATCAAGCGCGGGCACCACGGTGGGTCTTGTGGAGAGCGCCCGGCGGCGCGGGGGCGCAGGCTCCCGGCACGCATCGGCCTTCGACGCCGCCTCGCCGCTGCCCCTCACCTGCCTGCTGCTGCGGCCGCTACACCGACTGCATCACTACCAACACCTCGCTGACGGTACCACCACTACTATATACTAACTATAAATAACACACACAAATACACACACACACACACATACACACATACACAAAGATATGTATATATCAGTTATAACATGATCACTAACAAAATTATCCTTAGCTAGTTTATTTTGTCAATATTCCGCTGATAGTGTAAGCATTCTATGTAAAATGTATACAAATGCCTCGGTTACTTCGTGTTGGAACTCGGTCGCGTGATTCTCTTATAATCATTTACAACTAACCAACCGTTAGTTTCTCGTGAGTTTTAATCGGACATTGTGTACATATATTAGTGCCTGTGTCAGAGTGTTCTCTCGTCTTCAAGTTAATCAAACCCATTCGTCTCACTCATTTTGCTTTTCGTCTGTCACTCAAAATAGAACAAATAAATGGAATTACCATTCACTATTCACAATACAAAGATAGAAGTATTTATTGCTTCATTAACATATCGAACATTATCGAACTTAATCTTGTAATGAGGATTCTTCTTCTACCTGGCAATTTCCCAGCCTTAGCCAGGGTCTGCCTTACATGTTGTGAATAGTTTTTTCTATTTGTTTTTACAATCGGCTGCCTGTCTGACATCAACCCTCTTTGGGAATGCATTAGGGAATTCTTAGAAAGCACATATGACACGGAAAAATCACATTGGAACTTGTCAGGATCGAACCCGCACCCTCATGCATTAGAGGCGGGCCTTTTAACCACTAGGCCACCACTGACTTGATGATTATTCTCATGAATATTCTTTATACACTGTTACTAGTAAAAAATTATATGACAACAATTCCAAAGCGCTATAAATGCAATGTGTTGTTAATACTATCTATTTTGATTCCAGAGTTGTGTCGCGTGTCGCCGCCGGGCCTGCATCGCGTGTGTCGCGACACAATCTCCCTGTGTCGGGGGTTGTGTCGCGCGGCGGACGAACAGCTCACGCATGTGGAGAACCACGCCACGCTCTGCCAACTACAGAGAGACTTGTTAGGTAGGGGGACTACGATTATATTACAATTATATATATACTTTGACTAACGTTAACGAATATATTGTAGAATTATTTTGTTTTATTACAAATACAATAGTCCATTTCAATAGAAATTGGCAATCTTGTAAACAAAGCAACTGACCACGATTAATCCGTTCTTATGTACAATTGAATATCAGTCCTGATAGTAATCACATCTCAATGAACCCACCACCGTTTTTAACAATCTCTTCATCATTTAATGACTGTGTATATATGTTTATTTTATAACATTATTTTGAACATGAAAATTTATTGCTTTTATCAAATTGACACGGTCATTTTTTTCTCATCAAAGTCTATTAATTGTCTTAGAAAAATTAGTGGTGTACATAATAATTATACAATAAACTACTTTTTGTCCGCGACTTCCTTTACTTTGCTATCAAACTTATAAATGTATAGCTGATGGGGGAACTCTGTTTTTCCTTAAAGCAGTAAAGCCGTTCTTGAACTATAAATTGTGTGACTGACACGACTTTCATTTTTAAATATTTATAATCATTATTGTTTTAACCAACTCACAGATACTAAAAAGATTTGATTATGCTAAATACTATAGTCACTATAGTACAGTGTATTCAAACAGGCTGTCATAAAAATCAGTCAATCAATCAACATTGCATTTTTTCTAGTATTTAGTAGACAGAACCAAACATAGGTAGCGCTGGGAAGTACAAATTAGTCATTTTTTTAAATCGTTAGTGATATCGTAATACTTATTGACCTTGATGGTCTTTGGGGTCCTTAGTTTCCCAAAGAACCAAGGATTTTTAGTGTTATTGGGATTCAAACAACTCTTCCGTGTTCTCGTTTGAGTTGTGCATTTCTTAAATCATTTAAAGGAGCTCACTAATAAATACTTAACAAAATATGAACAAATTGAAGTATTTTTTATATTGTTTGTTTAATATAATAATTAAGATTAAAGTATCCTGATGAGTGCTCACATCACTAGGAGCATAGACAAGTCTTTGTCAATATCAGCTGATAACGTTTGTTTACAAGATTGCAAATATCTATTGAAATGAACTATACATATATTTACAGGTTACGACAAACTTCTCGTAGCCGACCGCGAGTTCGTCAGATTGGGCTGTGTGTACAAACACTCATCAAAAGGACTTCAGCAGAGAATGCTCTTCCTGGTGAGTTCAAAATTATCAAAAAACAAAATAATCGTACAGGAATACCTTATTGATACTATGATAGCGGTTATAAGAAATACTAGTAAGGAATGTTCATTTGTTTAACATTTAATAGACTTGTTTTCATTCTATATTACACGTGTTTTGTTAATAAAGAAAATCTAACTTCCATTTTGATAGTAACCGGCTATCAGCGCCATCTGTAGTCTGTAACACGTGACGTCATACTAATACAACCAACATGAATATTCCTCAGCGAACTTCATAGAATATACATGTTATTCTGATGTCTAAACTACATCACTGCATCGTTTTCATCAAAATCCGTTCAATATTTTTTGCTTCAAAATCTAATCAATGTATGTAAAAGCATAAATATTCACAAAATTGCGAGTTTATAATTTAATAGCGTATAATTCGAATCACTATGTAACTAATTAACTGACTGAGTTATAATATTTGACAGTTCAGCGACATCCTCATACTATCTTCCAAGAGCGCCAGCGGACACTTCCGAGCACACTCAGTACTGGCGACGAAGGGACTGGCCGTGGACACAACAGACAACACGCATACACTCACTGTTACAGGTAACGAACTTGGAGTAGGGGGGATTGTGTCCATTATACCACGACGAATATGGAGTGGGATATAAAATAGGACAAAAGTTTAATTGAGGAAGATAATCGCTAGAGAAAGAAAAATATTTTGACATATATAAAGATAAATGCACGGAATTTTATAACAACTTGTTGTCCAATAACTTATAAGGGCAATTTTTTTTTTTCAGTAGTATTAAATATCAGAATCACTTTAAACCCGCTCATAAAAAATGAAAAAATATAAAAAAACTAATCTATGAATTTTATCAGAAATAAATTATAAAACAGGAAATGGATAAAACTATTTATTGACGTACGAAATATAATCGTTATATGAGTGGTTATTTATTCTAACAGGCGAAGATACCGTAATAACGTTAAGCACGAGCAACGAAACTGAATTCCGCGGCTGGTTCAATGACCTCACTAGTACAGTAGACACGGCCAACAAAATTAATAAGGTCATTGACACCGAGCTCACACCATACTTACAGGACTACGGTGAGTCTGAAACTTAAATTTATGTATTTGTTTAAGTATTAATTAATACGCTCAAATAATACAATATGTATGTGTTGACCTCCATGACAAGAATGTTAAGGATATTAAGAAAGGTCAATTTATAAAGGAAAAAAGAATATGAGAACACATAAATATTGTTTACTCACAGCCTTTGAATTAAACGTTAATACGTTTAAATTTATTTTATGATACTTAGTCATTGACGTTCATTAGTCGTGTCATTCTAAATGCGATCATTATATGATGTCTATCAAGATCAATATATGTATAATATGTATCTCTCTCCGTGGCATTTATTATTCCCATCTGATGGTGGGGTCTGCCTTTCTGGTATTTCTCTTCCACTTCGCTCTCTCGGATGCTTCGTCTTCGGTAACTTTAAAAAGCTTTAGATCTTTTTTGACTACATCTCTCCATCTTGTTTTTGGCCGCCCTCTGGGTTTAGACCACGTGATGTGCAGATTCAGATTGATCATATCATTTCTAACATAGTCAGAAAGTGTTATTTTTAATGTATAATATATAAATATTGTATGTTTCCAGAGTCGTCTAACTCTGAGGAGTGTTCGTCTCCGGGTGCCTCTAGTTCCGGGAACGCCCTGGCGCACGTGTGCTGGCACCGAGCTACCTCGCTCTCACGACGACAACTACATCTGGCTATGAGGGTGAGTACATACATACGTACACTACACGGAGAGGAGTTAATATAACATCGTCACTAGAAAACGCTGCGTTGACAGTTTTGTAATAATTAATGTTAATGATGCGAGGTCTTTTGTGTTACTGGAAACTTTCCGTATTAAGTTGGATGTTGTTTGTGGTAAGAGTACACTTGTGTGACATCACTTGTACTGTATAAATATCTCTGTTTTCTTCAGTCTAAGCCGCTGAGATTATTATTGTGTATGTAACTGAACTTTCCTCGTCCAGAGCCAGTTGTCGGGTTACCTGCTCCGTAAGTTCAAGAACTCTCACGGCTGGCAGAAGCTGTGGGTCGTGTTCGCTCTCTGCACGCTGTTCTTCTACAAGACGGGCAGGGACAGCGCGCCGCTGGCTTCCTTACCGCTACTGGGGTAAAACTTGCACACACACACACACACATACACACACAAATATGTATGACTGAAGACCCGGCGAACTTCGTATCGCTCCAGACTCAAGAAATATCTGTTACGTTTTTTTATTAATATTTTTGGAGTTTACCTTTAAGCCATAAATCTCCTAGTTTTGAAGTGCGACAGAATGATTAACATATTAGTTAGTTGTCAAACTAATGTAAAAAAAACTTTTTTGTATGTGAAATAGAAAAGGGCTGTTTTAGGGTTTTCCCGGAAATGAATCAATTTTTTTTAGCTTTTAAACCTTCCCAGAACCTCCACAAACATTTCAAGACTAAAATAAGATAAATCCGTTGAGCCGTTATCGAGTTTTAGTGAGACTAAAGAACAGCAATTCATTTTTATACAGGGTGACTGGTGAATTACTATCAATATTTAAGGAGCATACTCGGTACATGATTCTCATTCGAATTATGTAAAAAAAATTGGTACTTAATTTTTGACCAAATTTCCGTATAAATAAATAAAGTGTTGACACGTTCCAAGTGTTCCAAGTGTGGACGCGTGCGGCGGCGTACTGATACAAAACCACGCCCCCGCCGCGTGTGTGTGAGTGTGTGTGTATACCTAATCTGTAGGGTGTTCACACGATGCGTAATTAATTACACAACTTTTGGTTAACTTTACTTAGAAGTTTATTAATATTTATGTTATATTAATTTTTATTTTGTCATATATGATCGTCAAATATCACGTCCTCAAATATCGATAGTAATTCACCAGTCACCCTGTATATATAGATTATAATAAGAAATGTGCTCACACGCGTCCAATACCTATACATTATGTCCTCATCCATACGTTCTTCTGAATATATCTCAAGTTTATTATAACTTTATATGAGAAATGTTCAGTTATAAACAAATTGTCACATCTCGTCCCCAGGTACAGCGTGGGTCCGCCGTCCGCGGGTGACGGTATCGACAAAGACTTCGTGTTCAAGCTACAGTTCAAGAACCACGTGTACTTCTTCAGAGCAGACAGCCATTACACTTATAATAGGTATGTTGCGTAATATATTTATAGTTTGAAGTTTAGTTTGAAGTCCTCGTTTGTAATTATTTGGTCAGTCTTTATGAAAATTATCAATGAATGCCTTGCCAACACGTAACTTGGCAAGATTTTGCCGTAGTTGGTATAAGTTTGCGTATGTACACTTAGTGCAACAAAACAAAACAAAAGCTCGTAAGAACAACTAAAACAATGGGTTCGGATTAAGGGCCAGTGTCATATCTATAACACATAAAAATCTTATTCTGTGCATGTCTCAATCTTATTCTATGCTCACCACTATACAATAATTGAAAATATATTACTCCATGATATTTTAATTTTTATAAGTTTGTATTTAATTTAGAATACTTATTTATGTATTGCTCTCATTGCAGATGGATCGAAGTTCTTCAGACGCCGATGGCGAAACCGCATCTCACTTGAAATCAATTAATACTGATATTTTTTTATTAAAAATCAAATATGAATCATTACAAATTACCAATGGTGCCATAACAACTAATTTTGCCAGAAAAGTCTTGCCTTGGCTGTGTGACAGACAATGACGGCAATTGAATCACTTCAAAAGTACACTTAGAGAGTCTAAAAAACTAAACAAAAACTATTTTGATCTGAATATAGATAAGAGAAAGTGGCACAAAGATGTCGGAACGTATTAATTATAAGAATTTAAAAGACGATAAATAAGTATAGTCTACGATAAAAATACAAAGAACTGTTTGAATAGTACAATTGTAGCTAGGAATGAAATGTAGGATAGCATTCCATAGAGTGACGGATGATGCACGCGACATGCAACTAATAATTATTATTTAATTTATTCCACTCTTTGAAATGTTAAAGACGATAATTTTTATATTAAATAAGTATTCTGACTCACACGAGTGACGTAGGTTAAGTTGTTAAGTCGCAGTGACTATGCGAAGATATTAATTTACTATAAAATACCTCTGGTTTCACTTATAGGTATTCTGTCACAAGTTTTCGTTGTCAAACTAAATAGAACGTTTCAATATTTTGAAAATTTGAATTTAGAATATTGAAAACGTTCCGTATTCAGTTTGAACGCACAAACTGATGGTAGATACTGTAGTTTAATATCAGAATATTATGGTGGTTTAAAAACATTCTTACCCCTGGTATGTGTCGTCACACTACATACGAAGTATTTATTTGTTTTTAATACCTAAATGAACCTACATGATACTATCAACGTAGATTTATTCATTTATAACTTACAAACGCTCTGTTTGTAGTCTTTCGATGCAGACTCAGGGTAAGGGTACGTAATAATTGTTACAAAATAATATAAAAATAAATTCGCAATTCAAACGAGTTGTTATTAATATAATTAATATTTAAACGTCTATAAAGTTTTTATTTCGTATGGCAGAATGTTGTGTACCAAAGCGTCTTTAATAAAAAAAAATATGTAATATATAGATTTATGGTTAATGTAAAATGCTGGAATGCTAATTCAAAAAAAATGTTTTAAATGGGGCTGGACCATAAGATTAGTTTATGTCAATAAAATCCAGATAATAAATTAAATCGTTGAAATGATATTTTTTTTAATGAATATTTCGTATATTTGTCTTGATGTATTGTGTGTCGGGATGTGTGCGTTTTATTTATTGAACATCACATATTATATATATTATTATATTTGTATAAATAAATTGGATTTAATTCAAGCATTTTGTTTTATTTTTTTCTTACAGGGCAAAGATTTAGAGTGTGCATTACTTTTTTATTATTTTATTTATGTGTAAATGAGGAAATTTTTAACAAGAGACCGCGGTGCCTTCTTTCATTCCTAATTTGTCTCAAAGTCTCAAAGACCCCATACAAGGATATAAATGAATTAAAGTCAAACTTTTATATATATAGTTTATTACGTTAAATATATTTGTTAACACATTGAAAATACTATTTAAAATAAATTATTTGGCTCTGTTACATAATTCCTAGTATTTTACCTATGACTATATTAAATAAAATTTCATATTTATATAATAAATACATCAAATCCTCCATAAATATATATTTACAATCTTATATTACTAATCGTCGGCTATATCTTTGTTACCCGCGTCGACTCTTATAATTAATTAGAGATCAATAATTCTTTGGCATTGTTCAATAATATGCCTAAGTATAGACATTATTATAGTCTGTGCTTACAAAAGTACAAATGTGCGAAGACAGATTATACACAATCAGAATACTTTAATAAATATACTCTATAATAAGTTTCTTTAACATTTTGTGCATAACTAGGTACATTTTCTACCTTCTGCTTCTCGATTTAAAAATATCTTTACAGCTAGCTTTTGTAATTTTTTATCAAGCAGACATAAAAAACATTCAACTTCTATATAATTTAAACCAATCACATACATTTTCATAAAAATAAGATTGATATTTTAATTTTATCTGCAATATATATGTATGTACATAATTTCGACAATTCCTTTAAGGTTATATATCCTAATTCATAACATCTACTTAGCTAGCCAAAGTTAACTAACAATTGGACTATCCTTTAGCGTTTAGTCTCCCCCTAGTAACACTAATTGAACGATAATTTAAATACTCGTACTAATTACGTTTTTACACACATTATATTTGTATACATACATTTTTTTGGCATCTTGCTTTCATGTATCCAATACATAACTTGAATACATACTACTTACATATCAGCTATTTACTAATTTAACCACCGAATTTTAATTTGAATACTCATATAAATTATACAAAACGAGTTACAAAAAGCCTGCCACTGGCAAGGACAATAAAAGGGATACCAGTGACAATAAAAGGTATTTTTATAGGTATTTTGTCAATTGATTTGCTTATCAAACCTTACACCTACATTCGAGTAGTGACTGTATCGCCGTTCTCTTCATTCGTGTCTTGATCTTTTCTTCTGTCTTTGTTCTTACTTCTGAAGAATGAAGCGGTTGTTACGGATCTGAATCTAAAGGATCCAGGCGCTCCATTTGCGGGAGAGACTGCTGCACTGTCGGTCGATTCCCGAATCTTCGGGGAGCGATCTCTATTAGGCCTCGATCGGTAGGAGAAGCTGGCAGCCTTGAGCCTCGCTCCGAGGCCCAATTTAGGGCCCGCGAACATGCGCTCAGGTGAGACGTGGGAGGCCGTGGGCGTGTGCGGCGCGGACATGCTGCCCACGACAGGTGGCGCCATCTCTGGGCGACGAGCCACCATACTACTGGAGTGAGGTCTGATGCTTGTATAACTGTCGCCGTTGGTGCTATTGCAATAATTTATATGTCTCAAGGGTCTGTTTATTACACTAGGATACATTATGTAGACATGTGGTGAATTTAGTTAAAATTACAGTTCATCACACGATAGTGACTTAGTGATGGGAATATTTATAGAAGAAAATACTAGCCAATTGTAAAATACCATCAAATACAATTCGTCTTTTAACGTGGACAGATATTTCATTAGTAGATAATAAATGTGTATGTATTTTTTTATGTTCCACAATTAAGTTTGCTGATAAAAACAAATAATACAAAATTATTCATATTCAGTAATTTTCTTCTCTTACCCAGTCTCAATCCGTGACTGAGCTCGTCTCCACTCCGTGTTATGTCTCGCTGTACCCGGTCGTGTTGTGCGTCTTCGGACGCTGTTCGAGCCGCTAGCGTTCGCTGTTTTCAACCACACAAAAGATAAACTATAAAATTTAGTAACTAGACTACTAGAGAACAAAAGTGTTGCTAAAGTTAAATTGGAAATTACTTTTTCTTTTAACGCTACGATTTAGACAATTGTATTACAAATGGCCTATTCAGCAACAAGATTACATAACTACATATGAAGTGTCTTACCATGATGTGGTTGTGGCCCATCGAGAGGATGTGTGTAGATCCTCTTACGAGCCTGCAGCATCGTGTACACCAGGGCGGCGAGTGAGCGGGGTGGTGCGGGTGCGGGGAGGGGTCCAGCTCGCCTCCGTCCCCGCTGTACCCACCACGTCTCCATGCGACCTTTGCCCTTGACCTCCACGGCTCCTCGTCTTTCAAGCGAGTATCCGCGACGCTCCAGCACCTGAAGATTCACTCTTGTATATAATAATCATATGTATATTCTTATCTTCGCAAAATAATATTCAATCGTGGAAAAATGCTAAATTGTTTCTGACTGGGTTTTATCAAATCTTGAAGCAAATAGCATCGACCTTATTACTTTGTTTAAATATTAGGTAAATTTGATTAAAATCATGCTATATATAGCATCTATTTCGATTCACTTTAAAAATTCAACCGTATCATCTAGAACGAATGCTTTTTGGCTTTGAAAGTTTTGTTACATATTAGATCAGTATAACATAGGTAATAATTCATTTAGTGTAAATATACTGACTTGTTTCGTATATTTGGTGACCTGTATACGATCCATAGCGCCTGTGGACTCCATGCGGGAGGCTTCATTCACGGTGTTTCCCCAGATATCATACACTGGTTTCCGAGCACCGATCACTCCTCCTACCAGCGGACCACAACTTATACCTAAAAATGAACCAACAATGTAACAACTTTCGAAGGCAGAAATTTATTCCTCTGAACGCCTAACTAAGGAAGTAATGCATAAAAATCTGTTGCGTAATGATTATTCTGTACCGTAAAGAGCTGTAAAACTTACCAACTCTAAGACGAAACTTGTTGAAGCTATGTTTGTTGATATCTTCCAAAGCCTCTCGTATTGCGAATGCATAGTCCACTAGCGCACAGAGATGTTCGCAATCTTCATCTGCTGACTACAAATAAAATGGTTTCTCAAATCATACTTGGTTACTTTTGGAATGTTATTTCACTGTCGTATGTTGTAAATTTACCTTACCTTATGATTAGGATTGAGGCCAGATGCTGCCATGTAGGTTGCTCCTATAGTTTTGATTTTTTCAATGCTCTTAAAACGGGGCTGCATGAGTAACTTGTCAAAATCAACTGAAAAGATATGTTCTTTAGTCACATGGCTTTCAATTATTTAATAAATACAGAACAAAGAAAAGTTAAGAAATTTAGTTTCATAATTAAAAATCAGACACAAAAATAAATAAATTAATAAAACTAAAATTGATTGGTACATTACAAATGATCTCGTTGAGAAGCCTCATACAGTCGATCGCTTTTTGTTCAGAGTAGAACTCATGGAAGTTTGGTATCCCAGCGAACATTACACCAACCTCGTCCCTCCATTGAGAATATAATTCCTGAAATCATTGACAAAGGTACATATGAATAGAAAAGCGATTTTACCGGACAAAATTATAATAATTGACTTATAACTCACGTCTGGACATCTGTCTTTCGATAGAAAATGTTTCACCACGTGATCGGGAAGTATATGTTTGAGGAGATGTCTGTTGGTTCGTTGAGTTTCTTTCATTTCTTTCAAATCGGTCTCCGCCTGAAGCTTCCACAAGAAGTCGAGCCGAGAGGTGACTTCAACTAGTCTCGCGTGATACACGACTATCACCAAGAACATTGTCATCAGAATCAACATTTGCACATAGAAGGGGAGCTGACTGAAACAGACGGTTTTCTTTGCCTTGAATACCAATTTAAATATAGATTTCTCATCTTCAATTGATTTACTTACGTATCATAGACTCCATTACTGAAATTATCTGCATTATAGTGTTGAAATAATAGTATTGAGAACATAGCCACGTTGATGATGGCGAGGAGTGTTTTGATTAAATAGTACAGTTTTAAGATCGAAGTCAAAGCGACCAAACTGAGAATCCAGGTAAATACGACGTACTCTGGTTTATAACATTCTTCAAATTTCTCATCGTCGGAAAGGTTAGTGATATTGAGAGCAATCGAATCGTTAATGAAAGTTACGTTCGTATCTATAGGAAACGAATTCTGGCATATATGTAGTTTGATAGTGCTGAAAAGAACATTTAATTAATAAAAATACCATTTTTAAGCTAATATTATTGCTGCCTATTGTCATAGAGTACTTTGGTGATACATTACCTGGATATAGACATTATGGTGACAAAGCAGCAGATGTGCAGATTCCTACGGAACCTGTTGCCACTGAGTGCAGCAGAGAGACGAGTCAGGAGCGGCAAAGCCCGAGGAAACTCTTCCGCCATCACCACCACGAATGATAACACGAGGGGAATCGTCATCGCCATTAGTGTTACCACGAGCACCCAACAACTATACGATGAAATATTATGATGAAATTATCCTTTATTTTGTAAATAATACAAACTGTATCCAAAAAGAAGAATTCAGAAGTATGTAAGCAACAATGTCTCTTACAAGAATACACAATCGATATTGTAGAAAAAAACAACTCACTTAAAATGTATAATATACTGAACAGCCACAATAAAGATCCATATAACGAGGCAGCACATCACGTTAGACTTGAAAGTGGTCTCATCGAGTTGTGCGAAGCGTGTCTCCAGCGATGCTCGACGGAACCTTAATGAACACGGCCGCATGTGTTGGGCGCGCATACGACGATTACTGCTCACCTCGATAGAATGGTTTATTATATCGTCGTCCTGGTAAACAAAATATTACATATAGACTTCGAAATCACGTAAAAGTATGGTTTAAATATATGAATACCATTCCGTTTAGAATCTGCATCTTTTTATTTAAAAAATTATAAATGTCTGAGAAAGAGATATTGTACAGAGTGATGGATTGTGGTTATTATGAAGTAGTTATTTCAATCGAAATCTAATACCAATGTTGATGAATGTTTTGGGCCTCAAATAAGAAATATATGAACAGTATAAGTATTCTAAGTATAAGTATTCTTTATTGTACACCAAAAGAATAAATAAGTTATACAGTAATTACAAAACTTGATCAAAATGTACAATTGGCGGCCTTATCGCTAAGCAGCGATCTCTGCCAGGCAACCATGTTACGTAGGACATAGTAAACAGTAATTAAATATTTCAGGTGTACATATATAAGAGAAAAATATACTTATACGAAATTATATACATATATATATATATAGTAAACATATATATACTACATTCAATATACAATAATCTATATATATAATTTATACAACAGTTTAAATATGACTATAAGTAACATACAATAATAAATTTAAAATATAAGCCAGATACATCGCAGAGTAGGAATTTATAATAAATAGTTAATAGAATTATTTTAAATCAAACAGGGTGATAAGTATGTCAGTGATTCAATAGAAATAATGGATAAATTAATAATCTAAAACGAACGAGAAAAATAAAGACTCATTAATTGATTCGGTTATAATTCCTACCGTGACATATTCAGCAAAAATATATTCATAGCGTAAGAAATGTTAACATTATCTAATATATAACTGATCTCATACCTCCGATATAGTGCTAAGCTCCATGTCCTGTCCATTTTCGACGTCATCACCATTATTTCGTCGTGACACTCGTATAAGTCCGTGGGCGCTGCTGTTGAAATACTGAAATATAATAAATATATTAATTTAAGTTTTAGAACACAAGAGGAAATACTCCTCGTAATAATAATGCTTACATTTTGAAAGGGCATCTCCGGAGTCCAATCGGTAGTGTTTTCTTCTTCCACAGTAGTGCTACTCGTGCGTCTTGGAGTCTCTGTTGGCTGCTGGGGTCGAATGCTGCTACTAAAAAACATGTACTATTTTGAGTATAAGCGGTCGAATTTAAATAGATTTTTTGCTTCACCTTTATATGAATTTAAAGAACTTAAACATTAACAGAACCAAACAAATTCAAAGCATAACATCAGCAGAAATATTTCTGGAGATTTTTATCATGAAGTAAAATCATAATGGTTTGAGCTTAACTTTTATAGATCTTCTTTTTATCACTGCACATGAAAACTAAGCATAAACTAACATTCGTCTAAAAACTTATTTATGACTTCGTTTCTGATATAAATTTCTAAAAACTCACTGTAATGTTATTAAGTCGCGTATATATTTCTCAAAAAAAATGAATCCTTCATCAAAACTGGACCTAATTTTCAATTTAAATTGTAATAAGTATTGCTAATGTACCTAGAAATATATAACGCCATGCTGATGATAATTTTTAAATGGTTTTGATTGTTAGCGAAAGTAAATTAATTTTAAAAGCGTTAAATAAATATTTTTTGGCTTTCTCAAATGATTATTTAATATATAAAATAAGTTGTCATACTTTCAAATTAAATGTTAAATAATTTTCTTTCTGTTTAAAATAACAACAATAATATAAATAATATTGCTAATTAATTTAATGATAAATAGTTGTTAAAAAAACACATGGTGGAAAAAAATCTCGTACTTTTATCAAATCGATTTTGAGAGATATAATATGATTTACTTTCAAAGCGAAATTACCTCAAATTACTTTTAAATGGTACCAGTAATTACTATTCATTACTTATTTAATATTATATACTTATACTTATTCATTACTTATTTAATATTATACAAAATCAATTATATTCTACTGTTCATTTTTTATTGGAGTATATATTCCTCGTCACGTTGTAATATAGTTAACATAAATGAAATTGAATATGTTAATTCACGAGTGTGTTGGAATCACATCTCAATATTGTTGAAGATATTCAAAATATTACACAGTGAAATTGACTTACCACTATGTCTGAGTACGATTTATCTTGAATTATGATTGCACAAGTTTAAGAAGAGTAATGTTCCAAAAAACCTTTAGCCTATTTAAAGTACGAAATATTTAAAATGTTAGTATATTTAAAAATCCTATAGAATTTGTTAGATGTTTCTTTATTTTTTTCAATTTAACTGTCTTTCTGTTTTTTGGTCTACATTTAATCATTTGTTTTTAAGGTATAGTTAGTGTCCAGAAACGTTACTTTGTTATGAAATCGTATTACTTAAAAGAATGATAAGTTTTTTGTTACGTTCTATACATTTGATTAATAAAATATATAATGCTACCTGTTTTATGTGTAATAGAAAAGTTATAATTTGTTTTCTGAACTTTTTTATTTTGAATTCTGTATCAGTTTAGCTAACAGAAATCTTAGGAAGAAACCGTGTCATATTTAGATAAAGTTACAGTCATCTTAATTTACCCACATCATTTAGACATTGACATAGAGCATATATAATGTATATTTATTGATTTCATTGCTATTGTTTTGTTGCTCGGTATAAAAATAGTGCATTTTTAACAAAATTCACAAACAGTCCAATTTTCCTAAAGGATATAACAAAAATAGAGACCAATAAACGTTTATTTCCATGACATTCGCTCCAGTTTCAATGCGAACCGAATCGCAATTCTAGCAACAGAATCGTCACTGAGCCGAAAATATAGAATGAAGAGACAGTTTTTGTTCATTTTGATAAACAATAAGAGGAAAAATATATTGAAATACTATTTTAATTTACTATGTTTTTTATTCCATTCAATATATGATTTCCGACACTTACAATTACTTTTGATGGGATTTGATTTTGCAAGTATTATAAAGTTTAAATTAATATCCCTTTTTTACGTACAGTTTTTTAAAGCCTAATATCCTGATATAAATAATTATTACTTATTAATGGGTTACATTTTCACTTTTCTACAATAGACTTACTTGTTGTTCAACTTATGTCTCGCTCGTCGTGGTTGCTCAGTAGCCTTGATGAGGTAAGTTGTTATATTGAGTTCCCTGATGACGGGATCCCGGAGGTGTCCCTCGCCTGGTTCCACTTGGAACTCTCCCTGCAAACACTCCATGGTCGCCGCTGATATGTGCACTCGACTGAATGGACCAAGATTTATGTTAAATCGAACTATTTCTCATATTCTGATGAGATTTAAGTTGCTGAAGTATGCACTTTATTTATATAAGTAATACTTGTTATGTACATTACGCAGCAACAAGAAGCTACGGGGAAGTTCTGTTTGAGGTTGAAAGAAAATAAAAAAATATATCGTAAGTTAGCTTAACTGCATTCTAATTAACAGATGGTTCTACAAAATGTACTAACGCTTGTTTAATTCTGACCTTTTTCATTATATCGTGGCATAACAACGGAATAAAGAACACAACTTACCCTGGTAATCCTCCGCTCTCCATGTGGTTAGCCAGAGATACATCATAGGACCAGAGATCAAACTGCCACTTCAGTAATCCCAATACACCACATAGTACTGTACCGCTGTGAATACCGATACGCATATCCAAATCCACCTGATACAACAAGATTGAAAAATATTTACAGTGAGAAGAATTCAAGTTTTGTTATTAATATAATATACAAGGACAATTGCTTTAAAAACATTATAAATTTAAATTAAACAGACATTTTTCGGATATTCTACGCGTGCTTTATTTATGTAGAAAACTACATACTCCCGATGTTTTGGTAACATTTCAGAAAACAGAATAACATTTCGGCCAAACGAAATCCGAAAAATATTTGTTTCATTTAAATGAATAATCCCGAAAGTCTTAGATCTCATCACATTCTTAATCTTGGTATGAAAACGCCTAGTTTTTCATAATCATAAAATTCGTAATACAAAATTACAATTGGTACGAGAAAGTTATTTTTTGGCACTTCCATTTGCCTAACGAAACGGTAGCCTTCACAGGCATTTTACTATGCTATGAATTAAATTCATTATAATATGTACCAAATAAAGGAGTGTTACGAACCGCGTATACCTGCTTATTGTACCGTACGTCCCGGATCACACGTATCATGTGGAGGCCCATGTCTACAGCACACTGAGCGTGGTCATCACGACGAGCGGCCAGACCAGACACGCAGAAGTAACAGTCACCCAATAACTTGATACGGAGGCAGTGGTTCTCCTGTCGTTATGGACAACTCGAGGTTAAGAACGGTCTACCAATGAGCCATTTATATAAACGACAATTAAAAAGCAAGTGGTACTTATTAATTGTCCATATCTTACTTTCTAAATATCCTTAAAAATCACGAGTTTGTCAATATTATCAAAGACATAAATGATTTAACACGATGAGAAAGGAATAGCGAAGTTCGTAAAATCTTTTATGAATATGTCTTTAAGATTATAAAACAAAAACTAACTTACCGAAGCCAATCTGTCGAATCGAGCAAAAAGCTCATTGAGTAGCTTCACCAAATCTTGCGCGCTGCATTTACTGGATAATTCTAATAAAACAAAACACAATTAGGTTTTATGTAGCGATTATCTTATCAAAAGCTTTCTGATGCGTTGTAATAATAATGACCAACCGGTAAATCCCTTAATATCAGCGTATAATATGGACACATCTTCGTGCCTTTGAATGTATAAATTGTTAAACTGCTGTTCCTGAAACTCTCCTCGTACTCTTGAAACGTAACTGGAAATCTCTTTTGCTAAAAAGTCCGGTATCACTGAAAGAAATATCATTTTTGATTATATAAACAAAATTATTGTGTGATAGCAATTAATTTTGTCGTGTTGCATGAGAAACGAAAAAGTACAAAGTTGAGTTGCTTTCTCATTCCAAATTCTGTTGGATTAAAAATAATACATATATATTAAATAAAAAGTTATGGAAAATTACAAGCTCAATTACCGCTTTGAAATAACTTCCACTGTCGATCACTCTCTCTCTTCGTGCTTTGCCTTGTAACCATCGATCTATGGGTCTCCAGGAACGCCTTCCTCTGGCCCCAGTCAGCAAGATATTTCGCGTACATCCCCGAGAAGTTAACCGCCGTGTACAATAAACCATTGCTAGCGAGCAACCTCATGCTGCAGGATTTTGCCTACAATTTATGTCAAATACATATTTCCGATAACAAAATACCAAAGCCACAATGAAATTTTTAGGACGACAGTTTGTAAATTGGGAACTGGATATCAAAATGATATTAAAAAATTGCGCGACAAATTTACTATTTAAATGTAGATCATTCAAACATTATCTTAAGATAAAGTCAATTAAGTTCAATAAATTGTAGCGATATAAGCGTTTTGTAGTGGGCGAAAAGATATATGTTATAAAAAGCAAAACTATTTTTTCAGCAGAATACAGAGTTACATGTTATTCTTATTGACGTGAGAACTAGTACATCAAATCTCTTTCATACTTAGAATATCCTTCCTATGCTAATTGTTATCATTACTCACAGCATTAGGATTCTCCTTCATGATTTCGTTCATATTGACGGAGGTTGCCAGTACATGAGATACAGATGACAGAAGACCAATCACAATACACCAGCCCAGAGACAGCGGTAGCATCGCGTATGGTACAAATATTATGAACAACATGTACCACACCTGGTTCTCTGGTGCTTGGAAACCGATACCTTGGCCGCTTAGACCTAAAGACAATATTGTCATAGTTTAATCCACGAAAAGCAAGGTTAGTTTGATATTTAGAGTAGTCTCTATGACAAATTTATGGACCATACCCTGAGCTATAAGGAGTATCCAAGTTGCAGCTGCAGCCCAATGTAGGTAGTTATTAGCGAAGCATCGCCAACACCCCAACAGACACACTGCTACATTGAGCAACGCGAAAGCAGCGGTCCAAGCAATCTGATATCCATCAGCTACTACCTTTTCTAAAATAAACACAGTAAGAAAACACCTTACTATATAATATGCATGTAAATAAGGTCCTAAATAAATTTTGAGTGTCTCTTTTTTTAGCGGCAATACTTAAAACCTTGTTACCAAATTTAAGTTGGTACTTAAACACAACAGTGCTCTCCATCAATATTTTAGCAAAATCAAAACATCTATTAATTATAGCACCAATGGTTGAAATAAAATTACGATTGCCATATTTGTCAAAAGGGTAAGGGTCTGAATCGATTTAAAGTAAACAACTTACCATCGTCTCTGTTAGATAAAGTATAGACGAGGGATAAACAAATCTGAAAAATAAAACTAATATTATGGAACATTGTCTTATGAAGCACTAAATATTTAAATAACGATATTTCACCTTTAGCGCGAAGTCCACTACATTGACCATTATAAGAGACCTTTGTCTTTGTCTTCTTGAATACCTTTGATATGATAACTCCACCGTCTCATCCTGAAATATAAATAGTTAATCTTTAAATCAAACTTTCCTTCAGAAATAATAAAAGTGTGATTATTGCTCACCTTAAAACTGTTAGTGATTGAAGGCCAATAAATTCCTTTGTAATATCGACCCGTCCTGAGCATTCCTTCCGTGGCAACTGACGGAATAATGGCACATGTAATTAGCGTGTAATTGTATATGTGTTTTAACAAAATATGTATTACTTACCAGGATCGTTCTCCGCACGGAAAGGGTCGATGCTATTCCTAGCACTGTTCGTTGATCCATCGTCGTCACTGACCCGCAACTACGATATTGATATATTTTTAGGTTCAACTATTATAAATAATAATCATATGCATATATCTAATTGAATTAAAAACATGTTCCAACCACTTCCAGCCATAAACTTAGGATAACTTTCTAAGATCTCATTTATGTGAGTGACGATATTATTTTATTTTTTTCAACAAGTGATATGATAACTAAATTATTTCTGGAATATAAATTGAAGAACATAACGTTAAGAAGCAGCTGGAGTTTATGGACAATAAAGTGCAAAAGTTCCAGCTTTTACAATAAATCCTCTGTTTGGCGAAACGCCAGCGATGTTTGAGACTGTGAGAGATTTATTATATGACTAAACATCTAATAAATTATTTAACAGAAATTCTGATCAATGAACGACCAAAACAACAGAGTTTTAATTTACAATTCATTTCAATTAAAATTTTATATCCAATTGATTTGTTTACATAAGGTTTATAGAATTGTTTTAATACGTCCTTCTTTACTTGTTATTTCTAAGGACAGTTTCACTTATGTAGTATTTAATTACCTGGTCTTCATGAATGGTGCTGCTAGCTCCATCTCCTGGTACTCGCTCACTCTCCTCGACGCCCACATCGTGACAAGGAGCTTGCTTGAGGCAGCAACGGCACTATACAGAAAAAAACAAGTTCTATAAAGTGCTGTTCCTCATTCAATAAACTACGTAAATACAATAATATGAGAATTTTAATAAATGAAAAACTGTAATTATTAATATGTAGTGGCATTTTGACTGTACAATATTTAATTGTTGCGTTTAAAATCTATTATAAGATATGTTTAGAAATCAGTATATTAATTTTTCAATATAAAAACAATTCACATAATAACTTCATATATAGGTTTCCGAAATATATGAACATAAGTTGCATACTTATAACGTGTTTATTGATTTAATAGTATAAATTTGATTACTGAATTAAATCCCTTTATTAATGAACATTTAAACCCCTCGCGGTTAATATCATTAAATACATAATTTATACAATCCTCTGACGAATTTAAAATGTTATATAATAATTATACGTCCAGTTACACGTCCTTTCGGCCATTTTTAATTAACACATTACATGTTGACATAATTTGATCCGAAAAAAGTCCTTCATTGAACTTTTTCGCATGTTGGTGTCTGAAATATTTATTTGAAGATAAAAAGATTTCATTAATTATACACTTTCATTCTTACTTTAGAAAAGTGTTGTGTAACATCGTTAAAAAAAACGGTACATTTGTGAAAAATATATCAAACTAAATTTTACCAAATTTCCGTGAAATTAAACTTCATTATATTTATCTAAATTAAAAAGTCTTCACTTTTCTGTTATATATATATAAATTATTTACTGAAAATCATGTTAAAAAGAGTAAAGTCCTGGGCAAAAGAAAATTATAACTATAATTTGTGTACATATATATATTAAATAATAAAGAGTTGTTATGAGAGTACTTGCATGAAAAGTTAAATAAAAACATATTAAGAAACGGGTTTTAGTTTCTGTGGCACGATGTCTTAATTGTAACATAACTCAAACCTAATATAACAGAGTCGATATATTTGTACTTTAAATCTTTTCGTTTAATATTCTTAAACAAAATTTGACTTTATTTTAGCTTATATAACAATTATAACAATATTAGAGCGATGGAAGATAATTAACTGGAGATATTTTAAAATGATCGCTTTTTATATAACGAATATGTCTTATATGGCTTACAATTATAAAATTAACTTTAATAACTAATAAGCTTTTGATTTACTACAAACAGGAAACAAGGTATTAACAATATTTATAAATGTTTTTATCGTTTTTATTCACAAGGACGCAGATAAAGTCTTCGGTGAACAATAATGTATCATTTGTGACTTCTATTAAAATATTTTGTGTGTTTCTTTACAAAAAATTATCTAAACATAATGTCATTTACGACACAAGCTTATCGAGTTTCACTTCATTTTTTATTCTATTCAAATAGAATAATGATTGTAAAATGAAATAAATACTTATGACAATTATTAAGGTAGAAATATGTTATGTTATGGTAGGTACATATAATTTTTCGTAATGCTAAAAGTATATGCGTTATGGTGGTGAGCCACTCGAAGGTTGTGTGTTTGTGGCTCGTTATATCTCTTTGTAAACCCATTAATAATACGTCCCTTATCGCCCGGTTTTCTTGATAACAGATACGTTTCATTATTTTTATACCAACTCACCTTTTATTATTTCATATAAGCGGAACATTTCTAAATCTTTTTTATACGTTTGATACATAAATTTGAATATACAGGCATATAGTCGTGTTTGTAATATATTAAAGAGTAGAACAATTTCAGTGCCATCAAATTATCTATAAAATTTCGTAGTAAACCTTCCAGATGTTTCCAAAATTTCTAAAATGTTACGCAATTCCAGATATTTCCAAAATGTTAAACAAATAGTAAGTAATTAAGTAATCGTTTTTATAAACTTAAAACATAATTATTTGATAAAAAAAAGTTTGAAAATTGTTTTGTACAGAAACTGAAAAAAAGTATTCAAAGTTTTACTTCTATATCTTTCTTTATTACAGCGTAAAACACTCAAAAAAGATTATTGAACATAAAAAAAGAAATAACTAAAGTAAATAATTACTACATAGGTTTTCTACGTGCCGAGAATTTAATAATACTTAATGATTAACTTTCTTAATATTCAAACAGCTATCATTCGTATAAGAGATTTCCTTTAAATCTATTTTCCTTATTTTATACGTCATTTCTACTGATAGAAGATATTTTTTCGGCGATGGAATATAAATGCTTGCATATTAAGAGTCTAAAAGGTTATTGCGTGTAATCAAAAGCTTCTCTTCAAGTAGAACATTATTAAGTCTCTCCATAAAGCACTAGTTAGTAAACTTCTGCCACATAATTCTAAGTTAATTGAATCGTACGAGACTCGAGCTCCTCATCGCGTGATTTAATCTTCCTAATACGGCTCTTTATAAAACTTCATATTAATTACGTGGAAGTTTCATGTTCAAAATATGTATTCTTAACTGAATTTTAAAATTGCTTCAAAATAAGGTCATCTATCGCATGTCGCATTACAACGAGCCAATTGAAAGTCGCTCGACGAACCAGCCGGGACTAATGGTGTGCATCACTTGACTGTTTAAGTAAAGTTATACAAATATGCCATTAAAGTTATCATCATTGGATAAATGAAAAGCTGTCTTTTTTTTTCTCAAAAACTACATACACCCGACGTTTCGGTTACTTTACAGCAACCGTGATCACGGGCAGACGAAATGAGACGATAAAAATCGCGTAGTATAACCGAAAAATATTAGTTTTGTGTAAGTGAATACTCGCGAAAAACTTAGATCTTATTATCATTGGATAGCTTGTCAACTAATGATTTTTCATAATCAACTGATTTCCGTTTCCTAATTATTAAGTTAAAATTTAAAAGCCAATTTGAAAATAAAGTTTCATAATTTTCCAAAAGGTTTTAAATTTTTAACTCTATAATCACAAATAACAGTTGAATTTTAATTTTACAAAACTTCACCGGCCGTTTAAAATAGTCTATGAGAAAGGTACTATTAATGTAATTAAATATTTTATTGTTTTTTCTTACATATCTTTCAAGCCTATAAATATTATATTCAATCTTGTATATACGTACTTAGTATTCGTCAATCACGATTCAACATAGTGAATAATAATCTTAGAACGAATTGACGCGAGCGTGATGATAGATTTCGTAGAAAATCCATCAATTGAATAGATAAATATGAAATATATTGCTCTGAAAACACCCACCGACACATATTAGATTCGCATTTTTTTTCCTATAACTATATACATAAAGTATATATTTTATTTAACAATTCTTATGTTTATATTCCTACTTTTTCCTACAATTAGGGAACTTCAATCAAAATACTAATTAGGTAAACGTTATAATTACGAACATAACTTAGCAATCAGTTCAACGACTGTGTCTATAAAACATCAATCAAAAAGAAATATGGTTACTTTATGTATCATAATTTATAGATGTCAATAATGGGGAACGATTTTGTATAGGTATTTGAAGTAAAGCCTACTATTACGATTCTTTATATATTGTTTTATAAAAGAAACGTTCTTTAAACATTTCTGAAAGAACATAATATGGAATATACTAAATTTTATTTAAATATATTATATATTTAAGTTACATTTTTCATTATATGGTATATAGAGTTAAGCTTGAGGATTAGTATGGATAAAAGAATTTTATGTTCTATATATTCGTATACGATCTGTGAGCTTACCTCAGAAAATACAAAAAGCCGCACATGTCAAATTAAGTCGAGCAGTTTTGTTTTCTGTTTTCAATAAGGTATATAATTTGTTTCAAAGATAACAATATTTCAAATAGAGTGAAAAATGAAACCAATATAAAATTTTATTTACTTATAGTAAGTATTTATTGTAAAATCAATAATCATGTTACTTTGCTTTCCAAATACCACTCTCGTGTTTCTTTATCAAAAAAAAAACGAAAAGTTTCATATTAAGTAAAGGTGAAGTAGAAATCAACAAGAGTGTAATAAAGAAATGCTAAATTATAGGTTTAAGCGTGAATTCCCCCAAACATTATAATGGACTTCTTTCATATGTCAAGATTAACCAATATATTATTATAATTATTTACTCGGGATGAAATAAAATTTGTTGACGACATTGCGTTTAGACATCAAATGTCGAGAATAGTTGTGAATCACTTCCTTTAAATGATAATATATTTTACTTAAAAAAATGCATATAATATATGTATACATATTTTTATTTCTTAAGTGTAAGTGAAACCTTTGTTTTTGACTTTTAACAACACAGGTTGCTAAAATTGTTACATTAGCTTAAAGGAAATACTTAACAAAGTCTGTAATTATTCAAAAATTTAATTTAGATAGATAGATAGATAAAACTTTATTTGGTCCACATTTAATATATTAGATTTAGTCCCTGACTGCGTTTACATATAACTCAACTCAGGTTAGCTATTTCGAAGTCATTATTACCTATTTAAAACGCTAGTTTTTGTCCGCGACTTCGTCTGCGTTACTTTCAGAATTAGAAATATGTAGCTAACCGGGCGAACTCTATTCCTCCTTAAAGATAGTAGATGATTTTGGATTTGATCAACTTATTTTTTTCCTTTTGCAATCGGATGAAATGTATCCTATGTCCTTTCCCTTATTCTAAAATTCCTCTCCCTTAATTTTCAGCCAAACCTGTACAGCCGTTCTTGAGTTATAAAATAATGTAACTAACACGACCTTCTTTTATATATAAATATAAGATAAATGGATTCGGGGAATCCACTATAAAACGCAACACTCAGACAAAGTCACTGCGTATTCATAATATTAATTGGGATTTGTTTCATATCATATAAATAAATAATGGGGAACAAAACAGCAAAATAGTTTATTGGACATAAACGACGTTGTTTGACGCGTGGACGATAGAAAACAGGGCGCGATGTTGATTTTGTACTTAGGGACGTTACCTAGCAATAAAATATAAAACTGTTCCTTTATTAATACGATAGATAAAAAAATTTAACAATATTT